GGTCACCTGGATACAAACTGGCACCCACATGGGATCCTGGTGCGTGCAAGGCAAGGATTTTAGTTGCTAGGCTACTGCACTAGGCCCCAACTTAATCACTTCTAAACAGAAACTTAATCTTTAGCACTTTGTCAGGAAGATGTGGTTTTTTATTTTACCAAACTTGAGAAATTGAGACTCTTTATCACTCAGCGACAGACTAATTATATGTGTCATGAACACACCAGAATCCCCAGGACTCCCGATGCTGGGTTGAGGTCTTGTCCATGTCCTGTGGGTTTTCAGGAGGTCCCCTCTTTGTCAACCAGGTCCCCACCCTTTAGTCTAGGTGTCCCTGTAGCTACTTGGACCGTGTAACTACTCTGCCTTGACCGTGGCAGAGAAAGTTAGATTCTAAAAGATAGACTTCAACAACTCTGTGTCCCCAACTCATTGGTGGCCTTGGGGAGGTGGCTCCTACCACGGCGAGGGACCAGGCAGAGGCCCGAGCAGGGGTGGGGCACCCACAACGATTTGGCAAGTAACGCTCATCTGTGCCCTGTTCAAAGGAAGCCAATGACTGAGAGTGTTCGATTTAGTTTGAGAAATGACTTCAGGGGGCAAATGCATTTCCATTCTTACCATTAGAACTGCTAAAGAAAATGAATCAGCCAAAATCTACCCACGTAAAAGGTTCCTGTCGAAACCTGCTTCCCAGCGAGAGTCAGGTCGGCTTTCCCGCATCGTGAGAGCAAGAGGCAGTCTGCAGCCAGGGAGTGAAAGTTGCGTAGCCATGGCGAAGAGAAGCCGCCACGAGCAGCTGGGGCCCTCCCAGGCCAGGCAGTGGACAGGGCCAGGGCAGGGTGGGAAGTGGGTGCAGCCACAAGAGCCATGCCTTGTGGAGAGACTGCCAACGGTGGTAGGAAGGAAGAGGAGATGACCCCAGAGGAGGCTGGCTGGGGCAGGGAACAGAGGCGTAGCCCCCTGGCTGCCCCCGAATGCACCGTCCTGGACTGGCCTCATGCTCTCATCCTGAGCAGCTGGGTGACTGGGGCCTAATGCCTCCCTGCTGTCCTTGGCCTGTGTGGAAAGTGCTGTTGCCCTGAACCCAGCAGAAGAGTCTTGCATGCCCAGGCCCTAGCAGGAAACACCTGCCAAGTAGGACGTGGGCCAGAAGGACAGTACTATGCTGGACTCTTCTGCTCCACTGAGCGAAGGAGAGCCCCGCCCCGCCCCCAGCTCAGGGCAGGGCATGGAGGTGCATGTGCTGTTGGGATGCCAATGCCGTGGTCTTGAGGGAATGATGCCCGAGCACTCAGAGGCATGTGTGTCGGCATGGGCTGGGCTGTGCGGCTTCAGTTTTCTTGCTCGATACATCAGTTTGTTTGAATTCACTCATGCAAACATTGAAATTCTGGAGCTGATCTTGGTGAGCAGGATGTGCCGGGTTTGTCTGGCAGGGCTAGCGTTCTCTGTCAGTACGGAAAGCTTCGCTGGAGCCAGAACAAAGGGAAGTTCTGTGTGAAAGGTGGTGTTATGTGCTGGGGAGGGAGACGCTATGTATTTGCGAGAGGCGTGAATCATGCGCAGTGGTAACCTTAGGAGCTTGGCATGGGAATTTTGTAAACATCAGTGGGGCTGTATTGCAGGTTGTGAAGCTTATTTCTGTTTTAAATACAATCTCACACAGAGCTGCTCCAATGCTCATTTCACTCTATGGAATTTAATAAAATTCTAGGTCGGAGGCAAGTGCCCTTGGCTACCCAGCGGCTTAGCCGACTCAGTGTGCCTGCTCGTAGAAAGTGAACATTGTCTGGGCCAGTCTTTCTTAGTTTGGTGTTTACAGCTTGACTGTCTCTGTAGCGGCCCTTGGCATCTTTCAATGCTATCAGAGGGTTACGGTTAGGGTTGGGGTTAGGTGAGATGCTTCACCCACCTGCGCTCAGCACGCTGGGTGTTTTTCTGCCCGGGTTCTGAGTCCCCGTGGTTGGAATTGGAGGGTTGAGAGGGTGTGTTGTTTCCTGTCTCCTCCCGCATGAGTGCTCTCCCATGCAGGGGTGAGATTGAGAGCAGCAAAGAATCGTGCCAGCATGGGTCCCAGTTGCAACTCCTAACCCTGTGCTCACACTGGGCTGCACTCCAGCTGGGAGGCCCTGGGCTGTGCTGAGCTGGGCAGAGCTTAGCACAGGAGGGGCTTCTCCAGGTAGAGTGCAGGATCTCTTCCACACAGCACTGGGGTGCGGGTGATCGGGCCCCATGCTGGCCAGCAGGGCAGCCCTGGCCACTTGGGCCATGCAGTCCCAGGACTGTGAATATAACCTCATGCCTCAGCTTAGAATATGGCCAGATATCAGCGTTATAGGACATTGGGATTCACAGGTACCTGGTGTACGAAGCTTCACTTGTGGCTAATTGAATACAGACCTCTCTCATTGTCAATGTTTTATTTACTCTATAATAATGACATTTTTGAAACTCCCCCCAGGTAATGTGGCATTTTCGTGGATAGCAGGTGATTGGCCAGGGACCCCTGGCCCCTTTGCTCTGGCCTCTGTCCAGGGCATGGGTGACCCACAGTGGGGTCAGTGACTGCAATCCTGCGTGTTACCTGCTCTCTGCCCTGCTGTATCCTGCAGGTCCTCATGCTTGTCTGTGAGAGCCAGGAATGGCTTGATTTCAAGAATGTCTCCTGGTTTCAGCCTGGTCCAGTCCCAGCTGTTATGGCCTGTGGCCATTTGGGGAGTGAACCTATAGATGGAAGATCTCTCTCTCTCTCTCTGCTTTTCAAGTAAATAAATCTTACAAGCAAAACAACCAGCTCCCATCCTGCACTGCAGCATGAATTGCCTCTTCTGAGTGGATTATCAGAACTACTGCAAGCATCAACAGCCTCTGGGTTGGCCTGCCTGGTGCAGGTGGGCAGGTGCATATGCACCTGAGTGCCCTAAGCACCCTCACGGAGGAGCGGTGCTGTCCTGGTGTGCTAATGAGAAAGACAGGGCTGAGTGTTCGCAGTGAAAGCCCCCAGTGCTCGGGCTGACCCTGGCTGCTCTTCCATGGTGATTTAAATGGAGACCTTCCCGTGCAGGAACATGCTACAGAAGGCACCCCGGAGAGTGGTCCAGGGAGCCCAATCCATCTGGGGAAGTTGGAAACGATGCTCTTGTGATGGGGAGCACGTCACCACTAATGGCGCACCCAGCCTGGGCAGAATGCAAGGCCAAGCAGACAGTGCAGTGGGGCCTGGCAAGGTGGCCCTGTGCCCCGTCCAGCCCGGGGGCACCTTTCCCCAGATGCCTTCACTGAGCAACAAGCTTCTAACCAGCAACTCTCCTTTCCTGTGTGAGTCTGGCCAGCGACATCCACAACCATGTCATTGCCAGTCAGAGGGTCACCCACAGATGGAGAGGAGGCTGGACAGCCATGAATGGGCCTCCCACGAGTTCTATGGAGTGTGTTCTTGAGAGGGAAGAGGACCGGTTGCACAGTAGGCTATCTGCAAGGAAGGACAATGGTGCCGTGTGCTTCATAAAGAATCTGGAAGAGTTCCAGCACTGTAGCCTAGTGACTAAAGTTCTCACCTTGATTGCACCAGCATCCCATAGGCTTCCCTGTTAGTCCAATGGTAGGGCATATCCCAATATGAGAGATATTAGAATACAGGGGGATATGTGTCTGTGAAGGGGAAGTACAGTAATGAGAAGGCTCAGGGAAGCAAAGCGACCTGGAGGCACCTGTTTGGTGTGTGACTCTCATTGGTGCAAACGTCACGTGAAGTCCAGCCTAGCTGGACTCTGTGATGCAGTGGGAATTTGCCCAAGGTCACAATCTTGCGACTTCTTCTTAGAGAAACTTTTGGCTCAAACGCTTGGGAAATCTGCCTGGATTTTCACTGCATCTGGGCCAGGTCTGGAGTGAACAGACAGAAAGGGGTCCTGACGTCTTTACAAAGGACAAAAGCAGGGCAGGACCCTGAAGGAGCAGACAAGGCTGTGCCGCTTGGCTTTTTGCTTCAATATTTGGTAATTGCACAAGTGCTTCTTGAACATCAGCCACTATTCTCAGTCTCACAACACGATCTCCAGCCCGTGAGGTCTCCAGGGACCTGCGCCCTCGTGGGAGACCCGAAGAGCTCCTGGCTTTGGATCGGCTCAGCTCCGGCCATTGCGCTACTTGGGGAGTGAATCATCAGACGGAAGATCTTCCTCTCTGTCTCTCTTCCTCTCTGTGTATCTGGCTTTGCAATAAAAATAAATAAATCTTAAAAAAAAAAGAATGGAAGGGCCAAATAAAAAAGGCCTAATGTTTTTTAGATTTCAAAGATGCAAGACTCACTACCTTGAGTGGTTGCTCTTGCACTCAACAATACATTGTTAAACTAAGATTTGAGGGTTCAGACCTCAAAATCTGGTAGAATGGTAGAGTGTGTTAGGCTGCCTCCTGAGGTGCTGGCATCCCATATGTTCATTAATTCAAGTTCTGGCTGCTCCACTTCTGATTCAGCTCCCTACTCGTGTACCTGGAAAAGCAGCAGACCCCTGTGTCTGGGATCCTGCATACATGTGGGAAGCCTGGCTAAGCCCTGGCCATGTGGTCACTCGGGGAAAGAGTCAGCAGTTAGAAGACGAAGCATGTTCTCTTCTGGCTCTCTCTGCCTTTCCAACGTATAAAGAAATCTTTTTTTTTTTTAAAGAAGTGAGGATTTTCATAAAGACCTGCTTGGCCTGTTATCCACTTGTCCAGTTACACAGTTTTATTTCCCCCCGATTTAACTCATGTTCACGTATTACTTTAGCACAGGTCATTTTTTCCTTGCTCACTGCACTTTTCTTAGGAACAGAATGGCACATTTATCAGTGAATCTGCCCTGACCACCACGCCAGCAGATCAAGTCTGCCCCTCCAGGCTTGAGGGCCTGGGTCAGTTCCATCAGGTGGTCTGGAGCTGAGGCTTTGAATCTGGTTGACAATGCGTCTGGCCTGTGCTGTGTACTGCTACTGAACCGTGCTTTTCTCGTGTAGATCACTGTTACGGACGAGGAGGTCAGTAACCCATCCTTTTTAGATCTGGTGAGAACTCCCCAAATGAGGAAGTGCACACTTATCCTTATGTTTGCGTGGTAAGTGTGAGTTATGATGGATTTAAGCTCTTGTGTCAAATTGCCAACGTGCACTTTCCTCCCGTGGGCTCCAGCTCTCTCACTTGTTCCTTTCGGGGTTTCCCAATGTTGCTGCAGGTTCACCAGCGCCGTGGTGTACCAAGGGCTTGTCATGCGCCTGGGCATCATAGGAGGCAACCTCTACATCGACTTCTTCATCTCGGGAGTCGTGGAGCTGCCGGGAGCCCTCTTGATCTTACTGACCATCGAGCGCGTGGGACGCCGCCTCCCCTTCGCCGCCAGCAATGTGGTGGCAGGAGTGGCGTGCCTGGTCACTGCATTCTTACCAGAAGGTAACTTTCCCCAGATCTGTTTGCTAGTCAGGGAACTTGAGAAAACAATCGAGGACCTTCAGAAACCAACCCTGCCATCCCAGGCTTGGCAACAGGTCAACCCCAGTGACGTCACCCAGCTTTCTGCCCATTAATGTAAACATGTTGAAAATGAGAAATCGGCTCTGTAGACTTTCTCTTCTTTCTTTTTTTCTTTTTTTTTCTTTCTTTCCATGTTTAGGTCTGTTTGTGGCTGAAATAGCCATTATGTTAAATCTAATTCATACTACAACCTGTTCACTTTTTTAAAAGATTTATTTATATTTATTTGAAAGGCAGATTTACAGAAAGGAAGGACAGAGCGATCCTCCATCCACTGGTTCACTACCCAGGTGGCTGCAGCCACAGATGCTGGGCCAGTCCAAAGCCAGGAGCCAGGGGCTTCCTTTGGGGTATGCCACATTGGTGCAGGGCCCTCCCCCGCTGCTTTCCCAGGACATAAGTAAGGAACTCAATTACAGGGTAACAGCTGGGACTCAAACTGGGGCTGTGTGGGATGCCGGCCCTGCAGGCCGAGGATTAGCACGCTACACCACCTCGCTTTGAAGCTGACTTGATTTTGTGTTAAGCTGGCATTGCTTGATGCGTTTCTTGATCCGCTGCTGTCGCTTGACAAGGAGGTTGCGGATGGAAGGTAGATCCACTGCCTGACTTCAGGAGGTATTTTGTAAGAAATAGCCAGGAAGGTGGAAAAAATTGGGGAAAAAAAATTAACTCGTGGGAGAGGGGAGAAGGCCCAGGCTAGCTGTGCAGAGGTGAGGAATAAATGTACAAAAAGAATGGATCAAGGAGTGCTTTTCCAAAGTAGAAAGCAATTCCCTGAGTGGGAGGCACTTGTGAGTTCAGCAGCCCAAGGGTCTTTCTTATCCCAGGGTTCAGGCTAGGAACCCTGAGAGAGGCCAGTCACAGCCCTAAGGCCAGGCTGGCAACACGGGCACACCTGTGCCCCTTGGAAGGAGGAGGGGCTTGGCATGGCTGCCAGCCAGCAGCCGTGAGGGCAGTGGCTGTGGGGAGGACGAGATGCCGTGAGCGGGAACCGAGGTGGTGGCGGGCAGCCTGGTGGAGAGACCGCGTTCATCTGAAGGAGCTTAAAGCAAGTGATTCTTTCTGAGCTTGCTGGCTAGGGGGTGGGGGAGGAGAGGAGAATGCCAGTGTTACAGATGACACAACCCAGACGGCCTCTGTGGTGAGGCACAGCAGGGAGTCCCCCGGGGGAGCTCTGGGTCACTGCAGATGGGTTCTTCCCTGCCCTGGCAGGCGGGCAGGCGGATGCTGTGCAGGGAGAGCTGGTCCTTCGAGGGTGCACAAAGGTTGCCTTTCTCTGAAGCTCCCCTGGGATCCAGGAAGGAGCTCACAATAGGGCAGAAGAGTCAGGCATTTACAAATGAGCTTATTGATTAAATAAGATTCAGGCATTTGCAAATGAGCTAATTAATTAAATAAGAGTCAAGTATTTACAAATGAGTTTATTGATTAGATGAAGGCTCGTGACCTCCGGAAATATCAAGTGGCCCCTATTAGAACAAAGTGATGGGAAGGTCAGTTTCAGAGCGCTCTGCCTCCTATGGGCCTCATCTCCGGGGTCTTCCTCTGCTGCTGTACGAAAGTGCATAAACTAGGTGGCTGACAACAAGACATTCATTCTCCCAGGGTCCTGAATGCTCAGGCTATCACCAAGGTAACCGGGCCATCTTTACCTGTATCGGATGCCATCCCATTACTGCAGCCGCCCACTTGATTTCTCCCTGTTGCCACAGTAGTCCACCTGCAGGGACTACTTCCCAACATAGTCACATCCTGGGGCTCCAGGGAGACCTGAGATTCAGGAGGTTCCGTCCAGCCCTCTACTTTCACCTAACAGAGTCCACGCATTGCAGATGTGTTCTATAGCCATCTGTCGACACACGTTACTGAGAATCTAAACTAGGAGGGAGACAGGAAATGGAACAAGGCGGATGTACGTTCCACCCCCTGGATATGTGTGATTGAAGTAGAAGGATGGAAAGCTCAGGAACACTGGCGCCTTTGCCGTCCTTGTGTCATACTTGCTTTGGGGTGCAGCAGTGTGGCTTTTCCATTGTCTTTGTGGGTGTCTTGGGTGCGGAGTAATCCCTGCACATGGAGGTGGAGGTAAGCATGTGGGGAGCATGGTGAATGATGGGTGCCGGTGTTTCATGGTGGGCACTACCCCTTCAAGTCTTTGGTCCCAGACCCACTGGGAGGAAAGGAATGTGTGTTGTGCCTCCAGTGAGCATGCTTGATTATGAGTTGAAATAACTCGGTGGATGAGAACCACACGATGTCATAGGAAACCCTGTAAGGCCAAGTGCAGCTTTCCCGCTTGGTCAGCTCTGTGAGCTGCCCCTGCCCTCCCCTGCTGAGCCTTCCCATCATTCTTAGCAAGTCTGAGCGCTGCTGCTCCTCTCGGGATGAGCTGCATTTATACATTGTGTGGGTCTGGCTACTTCCAGAGTTACATGCTGTTCATGACAGCCTGACAAGAAGAGATTTCCAGTCCCTAAAGGGAGTTCCAAATCCTCTCAGAGATTCCTCCCCAGAGCTGGCAGCCCTTCCAGCCAGCCAGCAGGGGCCCTGGGCTTGGGTCAATCCTGGAGGGCTGGATTAACATGAGAAAGGCTGCTTCTGGGGCCTCTGTTGACGTCATCAGCGGGCCCCGGGTCCCTGCGTGGCATGCCGATGAGCCTCTGCAGAGACATCAGCTCCCTTGGCTCGGCCTGGCCTCCACTCCACCCAGCTCTCCGCGGTGTGAGAGAGGATCTGGAGGAAGGAACAGTCTTTGTGGCCCTATCTTTATCCCAGACTCCCTGCCAGCTGGCACACCCCAAGGAGACTGCAGTGTTGTGCTTTGTCTTCAGTAGCAGAGATAGTATTCACAGGAGTCTCTGGGAAGGCCCTTGTTTCTCTGCGTTCTCATATAACTCTGCTGAAGATCATTTTGGCTGTAGCACAAACTTCAAAAAACTTTAAAATATACTTTTCATTTTACTCCAAAGGCAGAGTGACACACAGAGTGAGAGACAGAGCTGAGAGCTCCCACCCTCTGACTGAGACGTCCACCATCTACTTCCGAGACCCAAGGCTGAGACCCGAGTACTCCACCGTCCATTGTCGCTGCCTCCCAGGGTGCAGGTTAGCAGGAAGCTGGATCAGCAGCGGGGAGCTGGGGCCTGAGTCAGATGGGATGCACCTGTCCCAGATAGGGACTTCGCTCCTGCCCTGAACACGTACCCCAATACTCACTTTTAACCTGGCCTCCCTGCACAAAGTTGGCACCCTGTCCGATGAGCAGAAGCTTCCATGTGTGCCAAGGTCTTCGATGCCAGGTTATTTCTACTTGCTGAGACGTCATTCTCACCCTTGAGCTGGCGACCAGCACAGGGCCTCGGGAACTTCTCCTTTCATATATTTCACCAGAGTTGCTGTCCCGCGTGTAGTTAGACTCCACTGCTCACCAGGGAGTTGAGGGTAGCTTGGGATGGGCACCCTGTATCTGTGAGGATTGCTACCTAGCAGTGCTTTCTGAACATTTCACTGAATTAAGCAGGTATTGACCTTGGTTAACCAGGTAAGTTTTCTACTGGGTGTATGTGCGTACGTGCGTGTGTGTGTGTGTGTGTACTTGGTTTCCTAAGTTTTGTTTGATTCTTTATCAAACAGTCCTAGCCTCCATTGTAATCCAAACTTGCTATTGAACTTCTCAGTAGAACACACTTCCACAGCAACCCTGATATGGTAACAAGAAACTCTTGACTTAAGAACCTAGCTTGGGGCTGGTTTTGTGGCTTAATACATAAAACCACTTACACCCCAAATGCCCTCTGCTTCCTGCCCTTGCTGTCTACTTCCTGTCCAGCTCCCTGCTAGTGGCCTAGGAAAAGCAGCAGGGGATGCCCCAACTTAGCTTGACCAGTGCAGCTGCTTAGAGAATGAACTAGCAGATAGAAGATCTCTCTCTGTTTCTCTGTTAAATCCACCCTTCAAAAAAAACCGAATCTATCTTATATAAAAAAAATTTAACCTGGAGCCCATGTCATGGTGTAGCCAATTAAACTATCACCTGTGTTGCCAATATCTCATATGAGTGCTAGTTTGAGTCCTGGATGCCTCACTTCCCATCCAGCTCCTTGTTGAAGCAACTTAGAAAGCTGCAGAGGATGGCCCAACCGCTTGGGCCCCTGCCACCCACGTGGGAGACTTGGAAGAAGCCCTGGGCTCCTGGCATGGGCCAGGCTGAGCCCTGGCTGCTGGCATGGGCCAGGCTCAGCCCTGACTCCTGGCATGGGCCAGGCTGAGCCCTGGGCTCCTGGCATGGGCCAGGCTCAGCCCTGGCTGCTGGACTATTTGGAGAGTGAAGCAGCAGATGGACGATCTCTCTGCTTTAGAGGACAAATAGAAACGATCATCTTAAAGAGGAGAGAACCTGGCCTGGGTGCAGGTGGCCGTCATTTCTGCATCTGCACCCATGCAGGGACCCCGGAAATCTGGGCAACAGCTCCTGCTGTGTATCCCCCGAGCAGGGGCAGAGCACTTCACCCCCATCCCCAGTGTTTGTGAAAAAGCAAAGGCGCACGTGCTGACCGCCACTCTGCAGAAGGACAGCTGGTGGCCTGCTGCATATGCCACTCCGCTGTGTCTCACTCGCTGATGCAACCCTCACAGCAGGTGCTGTCACCTGAAGAGACACCTGGCCACCTGTCCTCAGCCAGTTTGAAGTAAACCGTGTCTCCCTGTCATGAACTGGCATCCTAGACCACCCTCTTCTCTGCCCACCCTCTGTTTAACATGATGAGTATTCCCCAACGAGAACACAGTCTGCTGAGCTTGGTTCTCTGCTTTGATCCTTCCTGTGCATGTCTGTTTTTCTACTAACTAAAGAAATAGTGTCTAGTCACAAAGATGCTAGAAGACAAGAGAATGATTTAGGGCCGAGAGCACTGCCTGCATACAAAAGGTAAGTCCCCAAGTTTCGCGATGAATGCCTGACGCATGCCGGCCGGCCCTGGCTGGCTTTGCAGGGCAGATGCAGTCTTGATCATGCAGTCACGTGTCCTCATGGCAGGCAAATTCATGCACTGATTTTTTTAGAGTTAAAAAAAACCCAACCAGATTCCCTTCTCCTACCCTTAAGACACAAAAGAGCAAATATAGAGTAGAAAATGTTTGGTATTCCCCGGTGGCTCCTGTGAAGGAACGGAGGGACGTCCCAAGGGAGGTGAACTTCAGTGAGCATTGTGGCCCAGAAGCCCAAGGTGCCTTAGCGATGCCCACGTACCATAACAGAACATGGCGTCAAGTCCAAGCTGTCCCACTTCTGATCCAATTTCCCATTACTGCATCCTGGAAGGAGCCAAATGACGGCTCAAGTGGGAGACCCAGATGGAGTTCCAAGCTCCTGCTTGGGCCTGGCCCAGTCCCAGCTGTTACAGGGAACGTGTGGGAATGAACCAGCAAGTGGGTGATCACCTCTCCTCTCCCTCTTCCCCTCTTGCTCTCCCCTTTCAAGTAGATGAAAAATGAATGAAACTTGCCAGCAAATGGATAATAAGCAATCAGCATTTAAGAATGTGGCTCTTTCTGGAGGATGTCTTGGGGGAAGGAGCTTGATTGGCGATAGGGAAGGAAGTGAGTCAGTGAGCTGCACCTTAGCCTACACACATGGACAAGCTGGCCCCTTCTTAGTTCACTTTCTGCTCATGTAGCCAAATGCCTGGACTGGGAGAAAGAACAGAGGTACCAGCAGCTGCTTGGCTTCTGGTCGGGGCTCCATGCTAAATCCTAAAAGGCTTGTCAGAAAAAGAGACAGGCAGGCGGGCATGTGCAGAATACACACAGTATGAGAGGTGCCCTTCCTTGGTCACAGTCTTCTTCGGGGTAACTGTCCAGGGCCTGAGAGAGCAGCCTTAGTCCATCCAGGAGGTCTGTGCCCCTGAGCCCCTTGCCCCTGGAAGTCCTGCCACCTGTCAGAGCTTTCACAGATAACAGCTTAGTTTTAGATGAGGCAACCCCTTTCCACACTTAGCACCCTCTGAGGGTTGGGTCCTGGAGGTTCTGTGCCCTAGAAGTCAAGGGCAGCTCACGTAAGGTATTGGCACCTGCTGGGCACAGCTGCCCTGTGTACACCCACCAACGCCGTAGGCAGAGAGAGGACAGATGGGCCCCAGTGGAAGCAGTGGTTTCCAAGGGCACAGCTGGAAGTCGCCTCCTGACCAGGAGCTGGAGAACCCGGCTCTCCGGGTTGTGCCGGCACTGCCGGAATGTGCCTTCACCATGGTGAGTGCTCACAAGGGACTTTTTGATTCCAACTCTGTTGAGCACCTTCACGTCAGACAATGCTGATGTGCTCCGCCTCTAACTCTTCCCTTCCTGACCTGTGTTCGCAGGGATACCATGGTTGAGGACCACAGTCGCTACCCTGGGAAGACTAGGCATAACCATGGCCTTTGAAATTGTCTATTTGGTAAATTCAGAACTGTACCCAACAACCTTACGGTAATTCCAACCTAGCTATTGCGGGTTCTCCTTTGTAACTCTGTAGCCAGTTGACTGGCTACGGACTGGGACATGGGTCCTCCCATTCTTGACCGGGGCTGAGCCCACGCCGGGAAGGGGGCTTGGGCTGACGGCAGCTGTCTGCGACCGCTGGTGACGGGTGTGTGTCTCTGTTGGCAGCCGAGGTCTGGGGGCAAGGTGCTAGATCTGGAACCACCGAGCCTCGTAGTCTGCATGAGGCTTTCCTCATCTTTGAGGCTGTGGTCTCTCTTTTGAGCCTGCCTGGGTCTGTACCACTTTGCCTCTTAGCTGGAGACACCCTGGGTGCACCATGCTGTAAAGCCAAGTCCCATGGGGTCGCTTGGGTATCCCAGAGCCAGCAGGGTGTCAAGGTGCTGATGAGGGGACTTCTGTCTCTCCCAGCCCCCAACCATGTCCCCTGCCCCAGGTGATTCCTCATTCCCCTCCCTAAGACGCAGACAGAATGGGGATCTTCGCTTAGATGGAGGGCTTCCAAGCAGAAGCTAACCAGTGAACAGGAGTGGCCTCATTTCTGTGCTAAGTACTGCATATTTTGATGACTTTCCTTGTTTAGGTAGTTTTCATGTAAAACTATAGTTTTGTGTTCTCCAGAAACTTTGGGGTTTCGCTGTGCTCCGGTTTGTGTGATTTTGGGGGCATCATTGCCCCTTTCCTGCTCTTCCGGCTAGCAGCCGTGTGGCTGGAACTCCCTCTGATCATCTTTGGTAAGAGCCTGTTCGTGGGCTGCTGTGCATGTGTGCGTGTGTACACGTGTGTGTGTGCGTGTTTTCATCAACACCCCTGGCATCTGCAGAGCCCCCCAGTGAGCACCCAGTTGAGGTTAATCACTTCCATCTCACTGCTCTTTCTGTTTTTAAATTGCTTCTTAAGGATTTATTTTATTTTTATTTGAAAAGCAGGGTTCCAGAGAGGGAGAAACAGAGAGACCTTTTATCTTCTGATTCACTCCCCAAATGGCTGCAACAGCCAGGGAGGTGCTAATCCAAAGCCAGGGGCTTCTTCTGGGTCTGCCACATGGGTGCAGCATCCAAAGGACTTGGGCCGTCCTCCACTGTTTTCTCAGGCCACAAGCAGGGAGCTGGACGGGAAGTGGAGCAGCCAGGACTTGAACCAGTGAGCATATAGGATGCCAGAGCCATAGGTGAAGGCTTAGCCCACTATGCCACAGCGCCAGCCCCAGTTGTTTCATTTGAAGGAACCAATGACGTTATAACAGAACTTAAAATCCTAAGTCGTTTTAATAATTTTATATTTTACATTTATTTAATATTTTCTATTAAAGGGTTTGATAAGCAGTGTTCAGTTTAGTCTTCTTTGTTTAGGTCTGAGTTAACAACCAATGTGATGCCTGGCTGAGGAGAGAAGTGGGACCTGGCCGTCGCCCCCTTGGTAGCTGGTGAAGGACCGAGGCTTCCAGGAGAAATGAGAGAGGGGAGGGATGGGAAGAGACAAAAGAGGAGTGGGGAAGACCAGGGCAAGGAAGCCGACGGAGTCAAGGGTGGTGAGATAACCCCCTGCAAGAAGCTGAAGGGTCTGGATTGGGGTGCAGTTGGTGACCCATCTGGCTCAGGGCCAGGGAGGACGTGGGACCATGGTGAGAAGTGAGATCTGGCCCAAGGCCGTGTGCTAGGAATGCCTTCACCCGGCTTCCAGGCAGGCCCACTGTTAGGAATTCAAGACTTCCGCCAGCCATCACTCAGGAGCAGAGTATGCCGGGAGCAGGTGCTCAGTTAGTGCCTAGGAAGCCCATTGTCCACATCGGGGCACCTGGATGGAGGCCCAGCTCTGGCTCCTGACTCCAGCTGCCGGGAAGCAGCAGGTGGGGGTTCTAATACCTAGCTTCCCACCACGTACGTGGCCGTCTTGGATGGGTTGCTGACTCCCGGCTTTGGCTGGCCCAGTGCTGACTCCTCTGGCATCTGGGAGAGAACCAGAAGGTGAGAGCTCCTCTCCTACAAAACACTTCAACACTTGGGGGTCGACATTGTGACACAGTGCCCAGAACTGCCATCTGGACTCCGGCATCCCATATGGGTGCCAGTTCATGTCCCAGCTGCTCTACCTCGCAACCAGCTCCCTGCTTACGTGCCTGAAAAGCGCAGCAAAAGATGGCCCACGTGTTTGTGCCCTTGCCAACTCATGGTGCCCAGAAGAGGCTTTAGGCTCCTGGCTTTAACCTGGCTCAGCTCTGATCACTAGCCATCTAGGAGTGAATGAGTGGGCGAAGGGTGTCTGCCTGTCTGTGTCTCCCAGTCTTTGTAACTCTTTCAAATAAATAAGAAGTTAGAAAGTTAAAACTAGAGTGTGTAAACTGTATTTAGAAACAGAAGTTTTATTCGAGATGCTCCCTTTCCTCATCTGGTGACTGCGTGTTTACCCTTATCTGTGTTCTTGAGGTTGTCTGAGAGTGTTTATGTATCTCCCTGGTGAAAGTAGACGGGCAAGAGAAAATAGGAGAAGAGGGTGTTTCTGAAGGCTTGGCTCCTGAAGCAGGAGAGGGAGGTGCTGTGAGGTTGAGGGGGCTCAGTGAAGCTGCCAGCGTTCCGCGTCCAAGTGCCCATCTGGAAGGGTGTTGGCAGAGTGAGGACAGAGGGCCTGGCCAAGCCTAGTGAGGAACCAGGTGTGGCGAGGGCTCAGCCACAGTGGGCAGAGTCCGGACAAGGCCGGCAGTGGACAGGGCCAGGCTCGGAAAGGAGAGGAGGCTCTCAGGGAGTGACAGTGTCCATGGCGGAGAGGGACACCTCCTCTTCAGGTCCTTCTGTCTTCCGTGTGACACGGGGGGCAGAGCTTGAGTGCTCAGAGGTTAGTAGGCCCTCAATCTCCAACAACAGCTGTCAAGTCAGTGAGAGAAATGTCTGCCAGAGCCTGGGACTAGAGGACAGGGCAGGTGTTTGAAACCATTGAAGAGGAAGACTGCGTAGCTGCAGAAGCTGCCGATGGGGAGTGGGTGTGACGGGCAGGAGAGGCCCGCTGTGGGCTCTGTGATGGGGAGTGGGTGTGACGGGCAGGAGAGGCCCGCTGTGGGCTCTGTGATGGGGAGTGGGTGTGACGGGCAGGAGAGGCCCGCTGTGGGCTCTCGATGGGGAGTGGTGTGATGGGGCAGGAGAGGCCCGCTGTGGGCTCTCGATGGGGAGTGGGTGTGATGGGGCAGGAGAGGCCCGCTGTGGGCTCTGTGATGGGGAGTGGGTGTGACGGGCAGGAGAGGCCCGCTGTGGGCTCTGTGATGGGGAGTGGGTGTGATGGGGCAGGAGAGGCCCGCTGTGGGCTCTGTGATGGGGAGTGGGTGACAGAGCAGAGAGGCCCGCTGTGGGCTCTGTGATGGGGAGTGGGTGTGACGGGCAGGAGAGGCCCGCTGTGGGCTCTGTGATGGGGAGTGGGTGTGACGGGCAGGAGAGGCCCGCTGTGGGCTCTGTGATGGGGAGTGGGTGTGACGGGCAGGAGAGGCCCGCTGTGGGCCCTCGATGGGGAGTGGGTGTGACGGGCAGGAGAGGCCCGCTGTGGGCTCTGTGATGGGGAGTGGGTGTGATGGGGCAGGAGAGGCCCGCTGTGGGCTCTGTGATGGGGAGTGGGTGTGACGGGGCAGGAGAGGCCCACTGTGGGCTCTGTGATGGGGAGTGGGTGTGACGGGCAGAAGAGGCCCGCTGTGGGCTCTAAGGCAGCCACAAGCCGTTCTTCCTTCTGCAGGCATCCTGGCGTCTGTCTGCGGTGGCCTGGTGATGCTTCTGCCGGAAACCAAGGGCATTGCCTTGCCAGAGACGGTGGATGATGTAGAAAAACTTGTCAGGTATCACGTAAAAACGCAGCACACCCTCAACCATGGGAGCCCTGGGGGCCCGGGTGAAGAGGAGTTGGGGGAGGGAGGCTGGGTGGGGAAGGGTGGTGCGGAGCAGGTGGGTGTCTGTGGGGGCAGCAGGAAATCCCATCTCACATCCTAAGCAGAAACGGCCATGTGGACGGAAGAGGTTAGCGTGGAAAAGGAACCATGGCCAGAGAAGGATTCCCAGAGCTTTACAGTGTGGTCACTGGGGGAAGCAGTTCCGAGGGCTTAGCACTCAGAAAGCGCTGAAGGACGGGCTGGGGGATGTGAGCTGACACTGTCCCCACAGTGTGGAAGGCTGCACAGGTGGAAAGTGTGGTGGTCCTCTCTGTGGGGCGACGAGGCAGGCCCCTCGAGGCTGATCCCACAGCGAAACATCACCTCCAGCGCGAGGGCAAGGCAGAGGGCAGGCACGAGTTAGACACACAGCGAAGGGGTGACACACAGGAAAGCGAGCAAAATCATGTGGGGACAAGCGCATGAATGACGTGCGAGTTGTTTACTGATTAATATCCAGCCAGTAAATAAACATGAAAGATTAGGCCAATTAAAATTGCATTACGCAAATCATTTCTAATTTGCAGTGCTTGACATGTTTCATCATAAAAATTGCATATAGAGTAAAAGAGCGGAGACAATCATATCCACTCCATGGGTAGAAATGGGATGTGGAAAAAAATCATCTGTCTCTTTTATATCTGTGGAATTCTGGGCTGTCAGACTTTCTTTAAATAGAACACACAGTCTTATATTACTTAACAGCTACCTTTAAACACAGTATTCAATCTTTTTAAAAGACCAGGAAATTCATCATACGAGCCTCTGAACGTTTTTTAAATGCACCAAAGATATTTATAGAAAGGCTGGAATTGTGGCGGCCTCGGGGCAGGGGTTTTCATTCCGCTTACTGGTGGTGAACTGGGGAGAAGCTGACCTCCCTTTAACTCCTGTGTGAGTAACGGTTTTACAGATGGTTTTTTATTTAATACAGAGCACGGGACTGCATGATACAAACTTGTCTCCTCACTTAGTGTAACTGGGAGAGCCCCAATGTTTCACGTGCTCTACATGCCAGCCCTGGGGCTGGTCCTGCGTACGATGTGGCGGCCTGGGCTCGCATCATTCTTTGATGCTGTGTCCTGCTGGTGAAGGTCTTTTGAACAGTGAATCTCCCTCTCAAGAATTAGGAGGGAGATTAGAATTAGAATTAGAGAATTAGGCTCCGTCCTCCTCCCCCAAATTAGGCAAATGTTGTTACTAAGACCCTTCAAGTGTGTTATCAGACTTTGAAAACTGGGCAAGGCGTAGCTGATGGACTCCCTCTTCTGTGTTGAGGGTCCTTGTGCAAAGATGAGACTGATGAATTATCCCCAGGGTTTTCCTAAAAGAGGCCTACTTGGTACACAAAACCACCAGCTAACTCCTCATTGGCTGCCCACTATTGAAACTGGCCAGTCACAGGTTAGGGAGCCATCTGATTTCTCTGCTGAGCTGGAAGTTAAGTAAAGGCACCTTCCACACCCAGATGGCCTCTTGGTTCTCGCCCTCAAGTCTGGGATGAGCAGCCCAGAGGGGGTTCAAGGGCTCCAGGTGCAGGTGGCGGAGACCCGCAGGACCCCCAGGCTCAGGTGCCTCCCTCCGCCTAGGCACACGCTGTGTCCAGATCTTGACCCAAGGAACTGGCTGCCTCATTGACTGTTACTTGTTTAGACAGCGACAGCGACTTGGGAATTCTCAAACCAGTCATGGGCCTAGTTTCCGGGGCAGGCCTTTGATACCAAGCCTCTTCTACTAGTTCAGCAGTGTTAAAACAACTGGTAGATTTGGAAAGGCGCTGTGTATGGGGGAAGGAGTGTCTAAAATGATTTGCCACAGAAGTTAATGCCCACAGAATATATTAAGAATTAGCAATAACTAGCCCCGAAGCTTGAAAAACAATCTAGAAGTATGATTACTGTTCATTCTACAAATTAGGTGCATTCATTATGAACCCTGACTTTTTCTTCCTCTGGGCTTGGTGCCCGATTACTGGAACTTGTCAGTATTTGCTTTCAAAAGCGGCACTGAATTATCACACCGTTTCTGTGTTTATCTGCATCAATAGCTGATTTCCAAACCATATTGAGTAGAAGTTCATATAGAGCTTACGTGCTGGCTTGCTAAGTCATGGCTGGAAGGTTCCAGTGTCAGTAAACCGCGAGCCCGGCAGGTGCTGCTTTGTTCCCACCGAGCTGGGGCGTGAGTGTCCGGCTCCAAACCAGCCAGGAACCTGAACAGGCGCTAGCAGACCGCCTCCGCAGCCCTCACGCTCTCTCTTTCCCCTTGTCAGTCCGCATTCCTTTCACTGTGGCCAGAAAAAGAAGACGCCCGTGTCCCGCTCTCACCTTTGAGGTCCCAGCCAGCGGCAGGTGCTCTCCGGGAACCCACACTCCTTAGGAAAAGCCGCTCCTCGCTCCCAGCTGGCTGTGCCGCGCTGCTCCCAGCGGCCCCGGCTGGGACTCTCCGGAGTATTTTTCTATGTTTATGGAGCAGGATGTATCAGGCTGCTGACGTGTCTTGGCATACCCAACGGCGGCTGGCTTAGCAAGAGCCTGCTAGGCGCACAGCCCTCCCTTGACTCATTCTGTTGGAGCCCAGAACCTCACCTGGTGGCTTACAGAGACAAGAGGCGCCCCACGCACTTGCTTCTCCGGGCAGGCTCCTCCGAGAATGCGGGCTGTGTGAAGCTCTGGCCCCGGGAAGAGTGGAGAGAAGTGTGTGAACTCTGCTTCCAGCCAGCACGGAGGGCGAGTCCCTGGGGACGCGGCCTGTCAGCGAGGTGGCAGACCCGAGGCCTGAGCCCATGTTTTCTCTGCTGTGCCACTGGCTGAGCTGGCTCTGTTATGTATGAAATCGGGATTTGATCTCGAGATTAGGTGGGATTTATTTTGTTCTCCTTTAGTGGTACTAACGGAGAGCCAGATTCCGTTTGCCTTGTTTTAATACGCTCAACAACCACAACCACAAACTAGGAGCCCGTGGGTCAGGCTTTTGTGGGTCATGGGTGTTTGTTTGTTTTTAAAGCAAAGGGGTCTGTGAGCAGAGTTCTGCCAGGACAGGCGTGAGATGCGTGGGCACTTCTCACTTTGTTTCTCGAACAGAACGGTCAGCTAAATCCATGCTTCAAGGAACTTGCGATAGTTTTATACGTGACTATAGATACTAATTAGGGATTGGATCTTCTTGTTAAGACTTTGGAAATGTGAAGCTTAAATGCAGCGTTCTCCTTTGATTGTGACACACACCATCCTTTCAGACTCAGTATGTATCTTGTACCAAACTTTGCCATGACATGCTCTGTGTGGGCAGGCAGCACAGGCGCCAGAGGGGAGCTGGCTGGCCGAGATGCAAGCAGGTGTCCCTGTAGCGCTAGGATGACTTGGAGGGTGAGCGCCGATTGTCCCTGAGGGCTCCCAGTCCTTGGACACAGCAGTGGAATCCCGCGTGAATGCGTGAATGCCCTAGGCACAGCCCTGGGCGGAGCAGCAAGGCTGCCTCTACGGAGAGCCTTCCCCCGGGCCTTTGTCTGCTCTCTGTGGTTCTATGCAGGAAGGACACTCAGTTCTCCCACACTGCCATCTGTAAATTGTCTTTTGAGTTGATGTTTTTGTTTGATATCAATAAACTTCAGTTGTTAAGAAATCATCTCCTCTCTTCTTCTAAACACGTGTTGTCGAGCACTGCTGATTCCAAATGGAGGAGCCCAGCCACGACAGCGAGGGAGCAGAGCCACCTGCAGTGTGGGCTCACTGCTGCCCTGCAGGCTCCTGGCACTTCTGCCAGACTCAGACATGACCCACCACATCGTGCGGGCCCTCAGCTGCTCTCATGTGACCCGCTTCACCCTGTGATCACGACTCTGCTCCCTGGGCCTTCTGCTGGCCTACCAGCCAATCACTAGTAACCAATTTCATTTCCAAAATAGAACGTGTCCCAACTCCCTGTATGTGTGGTAGCTTTGTAAACATTCATCTCAGGCCAGAAGCAGACATTCAAAACAAAACCAAACCCCTGTGGTGTGTTGGGCGGCTGGGGCCAGCAGACAATGTTCTGGCGTTGTGGCACAGTGCGTTAAGCAGCTGCCTGCAGCGCTGGCATTCCATGTGAGCACCAGGTTGAGTTCCAGATGTTCCCCCTCCAGTCTAGCTCCCTACTAACGTACCGAGGGAAGTAGTGGGAGAGCTGCACTACCTGGAAGGCCCGAAAGCCTGGCTGTGGGGCTCAGGGCCAAAGGGGTCACTCAGTCAACAAGATGGCAACTAGCAGTCAAGGTCACTGGTTACACAAGGCGAGCAAGATGGCGGCCAAGGACAGAGCTCTGGGCACGAGCCAGGGCAGGGGTCAAGTCGTTTCAAAGAGAGACTGATTGGCCAGGGCCGTTTTGCTCCCCAGCCCCTGGCCTATGGGAGGTGGCTTCCGCAGTTGCGTTGATGACAGTTGGGTCCTAGTTTCTCCCCTCCTGGAATCCCTGGCCTGAGGCTATTCCTTACCCTATATAAGGAGTTGAGTTTCCCCAATAAATTCGAACTGTTGGACAGACCCCCAGTCCATCTGTTTGTCTCCCGCGTGCCGGGAGGCTGGCAGCAGGCTCACCCCCTCCAGCAACGGGATACTAAAGGAATCTGTGGGGGAGACCCCGCATCTGGCCACTGCAGCCATTTGGGAAGCAAAACAGTTGTTGGGTGAGCTCTCTTTTTCTCTGGAACTCTGTTATTTGAATCAATCATCAATCAATTAATCTTTGAATAGAGACTCATGCTGAGCTGTCTTTAGCTGACTAATGGGCGAAGCTTGGGTGACATAACCAGGACATCTCAGATGTGTCTCACAGGCTTCTTAGTCCTTCCCAAAGTGAGTTAAATCAGTACGATCTGTTTAAAACTGGCAAGATGCACTTGAACCAATGGGTGTTGTAGTCCAGCTCGATCCTACCCACTTCGTACTCGGTCCTCACACAAACCAGTGGGAGCTGCAGCCTAGTTGGGGCGATTCCCCACAGCCCCCACCAGGCCTGCCCCTACCCTGGTTCCATCATGCCAGTATGTACCACAGGCTTATCCAGTCTTTTCCACATCCCATTTAGCTCTCGTACTTGTCAATGGGCATTGAAGCCTAGTTCAACCCAACCAACCTACTATCCAGCCCACACACATACTGGCAGGTGCCTTTCTGTCTCGTCACCCCAGCCCCTGTCCTGGTTGTCGTGCTCTCCAGTGGGAGTGGTTATCCACGAGGGAGGTGCCCACTATCTCCCTACTAGGCCACTCCAACTTTTGGATTATGCACAATCCAGGTGGTTCTGGCATTTAACTTAACAGAATTGGCCCCCAGTGCCAGCCTCTGCCATCTGATGATGTGGCAAAGCCCAACCAATCCTCACCCACTCTAATTTTTACTTGCACTAGTTAGAACAGTCAGCCCAATCTGGCCCTTCCCAAATCTAGCTCACATGAGGCCCACAGGTGTTGTAGCCCTGCCTGGTCTGATCTGCCCCCATCCCATCTCATGCTCTCCAGTGGGAGTGGTTGTCCAGCAGGGGAGCCCACATTCCCCTGCCAGCTTTGCCTCCTCCCCCCAAGTTCTCATGTGTGCTGTTTGGGCGCTGCAACCACATCCGGTACAGGTAACCTCACCTTGGCATTCCTTAATGTGCACTGGTATGTGCACATTGGTTCATGTGGATGACAGGGCTGGAAACAGAACTGACCCAGCAATTGCAACGACCAGTATGTGCATAAGCTGATTGGGGCAACGGACTGTGCCAGACCCTGTACTGGCAAACTCACACAAAAATCAGGTCTGGGATCATCTCAGATGAAGTTTCTTTGGAGATCCCTCCAACTGAACTGCTGATCTCAGAACCCCAACCATGAAGAGACTGTGTCAGCCAGTGGATTCTGAATAGGTTTCATTGTGATTGGAACAGCGAGATTGGCAGCAATTCAGACCTGTTGAACTATCAAAACTGCTTGAGCAGGACCCTCTGAGCGTGCCTCACAGCGGGGACCTGGGATGGGCAGGAGGCTGGGTGGGGCTTTTCCCTTTGTTTCTCCCCTGACCCCAGATACAGGGGAAAAAAATTATATTAGTGTGGAAGCAATGGTATTACCTACTTTCCTGTAGCCCTTGACCCTTTATACCCTAATCAACTAAGTAAGATCATTAAAAAAATTAATTAAAAAATAAATAAGTAAATAAAATTGGCACAATGAAGAACATGAAAACGTCCAATGGCGTCCCAACAAATGAACTCCAATCTAAGTAAGGACAGTGTATATTTCCCATAAATGTCATAACCGTGTGGCCTTATTTTTACAGAATTCAGCAGTCCGTGGCAGCAAATCTTTACCCACAAAAATATAAAGTGCTGAGAGCTGGCAGTGGGCAGCCGTGAAGGACGGCGCCTCGCTTGCTTCCGCTGCTTGCGGGATGCTAAGCGCCCTGCCCAGGTGGCGGCTCCTCAGGTGTCCACGCCATCAGTTACTTCTCATCACCGCTTTAATCCAGTCCACAAAGCTTGAAACGCGCACGTAGACGCCAGGCTTATTGGGACGGGCACAGCCGAGACCCCAAGAGGTCACTCCCTGTAGGATGTATTTGTCTTTCTCGAAGCAAACCAGAGGCCCGCCACTGTCACCCTGTGCAGTGAGGAAACAAACAAAACTCCACGTGAAGCTGGAACTTGCAACCTGTTACTATGCGATGTCACCCTTCCGCCGTCGTTTTCCCAGCATCTGAAGTCAGAAGGGGACTTGGTGCTGTATGCTGTGAGCACCTGTAGTGTTTCAGTCATTAGCAACGCATGCTCAGGTTCACCAGTCTTCCGTGGCGGTGGGAGCCGGGAAATGCATGCTGTCGGTTTGCCCTCTACATCTCTGCCTTGGGGTGCCTTTGAGACAAGGCCAGCCTGGGCAGGATTGTAAAGTGGCTGCAGTAGGTTTCTGTACTACAACCCCAAGTCCCCACCCTACTGGAAAGGCTCCCCTTTCGTCAGCCCCTGCCCACCAGCACATTCCCAGGAGGCAGCTGGGGCACTTGACCACCCCCTGGAACTGAAGGCCGGAGACCCCCCTCCTATCATCTGAGTCACTATTCATGGGCAGATCTGGAAGCCCTTGGGGCGGTCCAGCCTCAAATCTGCCCCTTTGAGACAACCCGGGGCTCCAGACAGGGCAGCAGCGAAGGGGTCCTGCTTACCTGGCAGCTGTCCGTGCCGCCTACCAGATCTCCGGCACACAGCTCCGTGGACTTAACCCTCCAGTTCAGGAACTCTGGCCGGTTGCACACCTTGTTCTCGATCACTGGGAGCTGGGCTTCCTTGAGAACGCCAGCGCCCCAGGTTCCTGGAACCAAGAAAAAAATAAACAGCTTCAACACGTCTACATGGAAGCGCCTAGACAGCAGCAGCCCGGTCTCAGCGGCAATGCTAGCTCGCTGACATGTCCTGTGGTCGACATGAGGAATCAGCTCCTAAGACTCATGGGATAAAAACATTAATGTGGAGAGGGAATTTAAGAAATGTAATTACTGCTCTTCTTCTTCTTCTTTTTTTTTTTTTTTTTACTAAATATTCTTTCCCAGGCTTTACCCGCTGTAATACAGGACACAAACACAAATGCTTATTTCTGGTATTTGCTCAGCAGGGCGGCAGCGTAAGCACTTATTTTAGAATGCTTTGATCTTTCATTAATACGCTCATGAGGACGGACTGCTGTGTGGGCATGTCTCCTTTGCGAATGAAGAAGTTCAGGAAATGGGTTGGTTTCACAACATTCTAAGCGTACCAAGGGTCGCTTGACGACGCCCTCCAAAGCGGTCAGCATGGTTAGGTCTGTTGCACGTGTTACTGCCGTTAAATGGCAGGCTGAGCCTTTTCAGGCACAAGTCCCTGAGAAGTGCATTTCCTTGGCGTTTCGATCAGCCCTGGTCCACAGTTTAGGAAATGGATGTCCTTGACCCAGAACGGGAACCCACAGACCCCCTTGGCCGCCCCCACAGCTTCCAACATTTCGTGCTTACTTCTCACACTTAATTCTTATTCCCGAATCTTTTCTTGAATCTGAGTACTCAGAAATTAGATAAACATTTAATGGCTGCCAATAATATTGCCACATTGTTTCCTAAATCGGGGTCACAGTATAGAATGTTGCTAGGAAAAAAACCACTCTTCATCATGCTTTTCAGAGGAAGTTGTTTTAAGTAGTAGCTACTAGAATAGGGCTGAATTATTCTGATTCCTTTTCTAGTTTACATTTCTTAGAGCAAACCATCTCCTGGTGCGGGTCTTGATGGCTACGTGCCTTCCTTTGTGAGGCCGGCTGCCTTGCCTTTGAGGAAGAAGAGATAGGACTTTGTAAAAAGTGTAGACCAAATGCTGGCCTGCACTGCGACACACCCGTGGCTGGTGCCTGAGCTTGCACTGTGATTTGGCAACAAACCTCTGCTTTGCTATCATGGGTCAACCAAGACACTAGGTCCTGATGCATCCCCAAAGACCCAGACTCAGCTGATTTCCTGGGGCCCAGGAAACCTGCCTCTGAAGATGGCTTGAGCCCAAGAGAGGCCGTCCCAGAGTGGCTCAGCTCAGGCCGAACACAACAGCACTGGGCACAGAGACATCACTTAAACAGATGTGTGGAGGAAGCATACTTCTCTGAATATTTTGTCAAAAACTCCTGAGTTTCTGGGCGTCATTGCTGTAACTGGGACATCTCGAGAGTGCCGGCAAGCGGCGGTGGTCTGTGAGAATGTGCTGCCACCTGGTGGCCACATTTGAGATGGCGTTCCCTGAGTTAAGATGCTGCAGGTGACCTAGGCACTGGAGCCCTGGGGGACCGGGAAACTGAGGCAGCCAGGAGAGAGTAACAAAGTCAGGGTGCAGGAGGGGAGCAATGCCCAGGGACTCACTTGGAACTGGGACTCACTTGGAACAGCCGTTACCTCCAGGTTGACTGTGCTTCAAATATCAGAGTTGGGGAGCATTGCGGGGGTGCGGTGAGAAGGGGAGAGGGAGAAGAGGTTACACCCAAAGATCCAATCTGAGTGACATGCAGAAAACTGGCAAACAGGCTTCGGTTCTGCTTGGTGACTCCTCCTGGGCTCCTTACTGTTCTGAGAATCATCTCAGGATCCGCGTGGGCAGGACTCGGGGAGACGCGGAGCCAGCCAGTGCAGGTGGTGGCAGAAACGTGTGGGTGGGCAGTAAGACAGAAGAACCAGCAAGTAGACTTGGCTGTCAGCAGGTAGGTCTGGATTCCATCAGGGCACACATCAGCTATGTAAGTTCTGTGGATGAAGGTGGTAATGGTGGGAGAGATGCTGGCGGTGGTGCTGATGGTGACGGAGAGGGTAGTGATGGAGATGATGGGGCTGGCAGCAACAGTGATGATGATGATGAAGAGATGGTGGTGGTGATGGAGACGGTGAGATGGTAGTGATGACACTGGCTGTGATGGGGATGATGGAATTGGTGGTAATGGTGATGGTGATGTTAGGGACGATGGTAGTGTTGATGATGATTCATAGTTTTCATTCTCACCATGGCCTCACAGTGCAAATGAAGCAACAAAGTTTAAATTCAGACAAGGACACCAGGCTTATAGAGAGGAAAGATCTGCCCGATGTCACTTCGACAAAGGTAGGACTCACACTCAGCTCCTTGTGGCTTTAGGTTCATCCAGAGGACATCTGTTGGCTTTCTGGCAGCCTGTATCCCACGGTCTACCCCTTGCCCCTCTGGGTGTAAGCGGGTCCTGCCCCAGCTTCAGGGTGGGGCAGCTAAAGTAGGTCCAGGCCAGTTGGTGACTGACTGCAGGGTAGGCATGTGAGCTGACCCCTACCCCTCGGGCAGAGCCGTCCAGCATGCACTGCCGTGGAGTGGCACCTCCGTGCAGGAGTGGCACCTATCCGTGTCTGGGTGAGCCGAGGCCTGCAGCCATCGTGTGAGCCAGAGGAGTGGCCAGCTGACAGTTTCCTGTCTCTGCTTAACCCACTCTAGATTTTCTGTCACTTGCAGGAAGCGCCATGTTTCCTGTGGCTCTCTTCCATGTCATCTTTAAGAGCTGTGCTTGGCATCACGGGCACTTCACCCCCTCCCACAGGAGACCCCACCCTATCCCAGCTGAGGAGGTAACCCCTAACTGTACATGGGAATCCCCTCTTCAGGCGTGTGTCACCCAGTGGCTGACATGCCCCCTGCTCCAAGCCACAGGGCCCTGCTGTGTGAGACAAAAAGAGTGATGAGAACCCCAAGGCTTGGGCATAGCAGACGCACGCACAGCCTGGCACACCCCTGGGGCTGCCCCTCAGCCAAGCTTCTCTTACCATGGCCAAGGCACTCTCAGGGTCAGAAGCACAGATCGGGAGAGGGGTAGCAGATGGGACTTTGAACACGGAAGGAAAAGCTCAGACAGACAGAGGTCAGCTCCAGCATTATCTAGACCTGCGGCTTTTGATCTTCTTCCCCCTTAAACTGCAAAACCTTACTGTTAGCCAAACCTTACTGTGAGCCAAAACTTCCGCAAAGGGCAGATGTGAGATAAACTATCAGAAGCCACAGGCTGAGGAGAATCGAGATGGCAGAACAGGGCAAGGACATGTTTAAATGGATGGAGAAACATTAGCACTATGAAGCAGAGAGGACACATTCCAGGAAATAGGAGAGGACAGAACAACAGCAGAGGGGTACCTGGAGACTGACAGACACAGGAAAGCACCAGACACAACAGTGTGGTGTTGCAGTGACTGATACCCCAGTGGCATTCAGTGAGTGGTGATCTGAATTGCAGCGGCAGCCGGAGCTCCACCAGCAACAAGGTGGGAAGGGATTTTCACCGGGAGGTCAGGAAGTGAACCCAGACAAAAAAATTGCCTGTCCTGCTGGTCTGTTTGATTTGACCGGGAGCAGAGACAGAGCACCAGGTCCCAGATGGGCAGTGCAGGAACAGGGAGGATTTCACAGCCCAGTCCGCCTCCTAGAGCCAAATCGGGCACCATTTTGTTTAAGGAGGCAAAGGCAAGGGAAAGGACTGCATGCATGGAGCTGGGAGTGAACTCATAGCTGACTCAGTGAACTGCAACAACATGGCATCCTACAGGCTCCATCCACCCAAGACAGGTCCGGGTAGCCCTCAGACCTGACGGCCAGCAGATCAAGAACTCCAGTAGTGGCACATCAGATGCCATTTTTTTTTGTTTGTTTTGTTTTGTTTTGTTTTGTACAATGTGGCAAAAGTTTTAAGACTGCAGGGACAACAGTGAGCTGCGCATGTGCTGAGCTCGGTGAGAACTCACTGAGTTCCATGGATTGCACTGGTCCCACAGGGAAAATAATACCAACTTTGGCATCTTACTGGTCAAAATGGGTCTGTGTGGCCCTCATACCTTGTGGCCAACAGGTTCCTGCAAGATCGGCACCACCAACCACCTAGTTATATAGGACATCTGGTGTTTCCCTAATCCTGGGACCTGCTCCAACCGGAAGTGGGAGAAAGGTTGTACAGACAATGGTACAGCCTCAGCACAGTATCACAGGAGGTGGAGATTGGTGAGCCAGGAGCTGGGCCTATGGAGACCACGGTGGAAATCTAATATAAGAACCCAGACCTGGAACTCACTGGAAGGAGTGGCACAATTGACTGCAAACAAAGAGCCGTGTACCAACTGCAATGAGTAAAATTGAACTGTAGACCTGTGGGTGACACAGCTTAGAAACCTGCCCCAAGGAGAAGAATCTGCTAACTTGAAGTACAATGACCAAGAGCAAAAGAGACAGAGGCACAATGAATATTACTGAAGACTCCCCTGCAAAGGAGCAAAATCTTTTGCCAACCTCAGAGTTCACTGAGGAAGACATCGAGAAAATGGGGGAGACAGAATTCAAAACACTTGTTATAACGCTTCTCATCAACAATGAGAAGCACGTAAAGCAGGCGTTCAAGGAATATGTCACACTGGAAATGAGTCAAATGAAAGCTGATATATCAGAAATGAAGAATACAGTGGAACAAATTAAAAGTACAGTGGAGAGTCTCCAAAATAGAAAGAAGCAAGCAAAAAGACAATCTCAGAATTAGAAGATATTTCCTGTCACTGAGGGAAACAAACAAAAAGCTGGAAGCAGAGCTGGATCAAGCCATGAAAGTACTCAAGAACTGAAAGACAATATTAAAAGGCCAAATATAAGAGTTACAGGAGTCCCAGGTGGTGCAGAAAGAGAAGCTGGGATTAAAGGTGTATTTAACGAAATAATAAGGAAAAATTTCCCTAATCTAGAGAAAGAATTGGGAAACAACATCCAAGAGGGGCACAGAACTCCCAACAGGCTTGACCAAAAGCGGTCTTCACCATGACACATGATAAGCTCTCTTCAATCGAACATAAGGAAAATATCCTTAAATGTGCATGTGAAAAAATAAAGGAATGCCAAGTAGACTCACAGAAGACCTCTCACAGGAAACTCTACAGGCCAGAGAAGAATGAAGTGACATATTCCAGTTCTAAAGGGAAAAAAAAAATGTCGGCCCAGGATAATACACCCAGCAAAGCTTTTCTTCATCTTTGAAAATGAAATACAATTCTTCCACAGTAAAGAAACGTTTTCTAAAAATTTATCTCTTTCAAACTGTTCTACAAATTATACTTAAAGATATTCTCTTGACAGAGAAGAGGAATAGCACCTACCAAAACCAAAGGCAAATGTGAAGAACATTCCAGTAAAATAACAACAGAAGACTAAATCAAGGAAAAACCCATTCCTAAAATGACAGGACCAAATTACCACTCATACATATTAACTCTGAATGTAAATAGCTTAAACTCAATCCAAGTGTCATAGATTAATAGACTGGATTAAAAAACAAAACCCATCTATTTGTTGCCTACAGCAGACACATTTCACCAACAAATATCAGCGGAAACTTTATCTCATGGATTTTTTTTTGTTGTTGTTGTTGTTTCATCTTATCAAAACACTTCCTTGTGATTAAATTCTTCAGTGCCTCATAGATCATATGGTAGCATTATTTTCTTTAAGAAGGTTCTTGATTTTCTTTTACATTTTTTTCAGAGACAAATTAGTCATTCAGTAGCATGTTATTTAACTTCATGGTGTTAATTTCTTTTTTCTTCCTGTTGATTTTATATTGTGGTTTTTCATTTAAGGGGATATATAGTAACTGTGTAATGGAGACTGTCATATCCGGATGTGAGGATGCAATGCAGTATGCATCTCTACTTCCAGATCAAAGATGGACTCTCAATGAAACTGTTTACTATATCTTGACAATAGGATGCTGGACTCTCTGCCCCTGTCCATGCCCGCAATGATGGACATATGACTGTGTATTAAGAACTATACTTTAGTACGATATAGAACTCAGTGGGTGGGGGGAGGAATTTGGGGAGGATATAAGGAAAATCCCAGGGCCTATGGAACTTTATCATAAAATGATTATAATAATAATCATAAAAAGAAGTAAACCTAAAAAAAAAAAAAAAGAAAGAAATCGCAGGCTGCACAGAAGGGCAGTGGGGGCGGGGAGGAGAGCCAAACGGCCCCAGAAGTGCATCTGTCAGTTCAAGTCTCCCTAGCTCATGGCTGAGTCCCAGCCATTTGCTGGGGCTCCGTCTGTGCTCCCGAGCCCTTGCCTGCGCTCCCGAGCCCTTGCCTGCGCTCCCGAGCCGGTAAGACCGGAAGCTCACACTTCCTCATGCCTTCCCAGGCCAAAGGCCAGTCTCTGGTGCACAAAGTCATGATTGAGACACTTAGCCAGAGAGCAGATTCCATGTCCTACAGGAAGCACCTCTCTCACCCTCACCCCATCAACCAGATCCAGGGGCATCCTAGAACTTAGGGGGCTCCTGGGACCTTTCCTTCCACCTGTCAGACTGTCTCCCCTCATAGTTCCTGCACACACTGGCCATGTGGATATTTGAAATGAAAACTGCATTAACTGTGACTTCTGTTGCTATTGCTTTACATGCTGGGAACCCAGAATAACTCGCTTCACATGAAAAATAACCCAGCACCTTTACCTTACGCTACAGATGCATCCAAACCCTGCTTACCTGAGGAAGCAGTGCTGGTGTTGAAATGAGAGGCTAAGAAACCCCCAAAAGTGGTCCTCCCCCCCTTGCTCTTGTCCCCCAATGACTGGTGATGGGGATGCAGGCAGACAGGCACCCAGATGGAGGCAGGAAGGGGTGGACCACACACATCAGCAAGTACGTGGGCCCCGGTCTCTGCAATGGTCCTTCTGCGCCAGCATCCATCCCTGGTGTGCACAGGGCAGGAACTCACCTTGGGTCTCTCCCCAGCCGGTGACGTAGCACACTGTGCGGTCAGCCACCATGTAGTTAGAGGAGGGCAGACAAGCTGGGATGACCTGGTTGGTGATGACGGCAGGGCTGCAAGGAAAACATCGACGTCACCTTGGGCTGCTCTGCTGGGAGCTCCCATCTGTGGGCAGTGGCTTTTGACACCACTGCCAGGAAGCCCAGTACCTCTGACAGAGGGATGCAGAGCACAGCTCCTGACCCTCACGTGGGCCTCTGGTGCCCTGTGCATGAACAAGTGGACATTCTCACTTCAAGCACATAGTTTGTAGGGTGGGATTTCAGCACAGCGGTTAAGGCACCTTCGGGATTGCAGCACCTGCTAGGGTGGCGACTGAGTTCAAATCCCAGCTCTGCTTCTGATCCCAGCTTCCTGCTAGCACACACCCGGGGAGGCAGTGGTGGTTGCTCAGCTGCTGGGGCCTCTGCCACCCACACAGGAGACCTGGACTGAACTCTGGGCTCCTGGCCTTGGCTTGGTGCAGCCATGGTTACTGCAGGCATTTGAATAGTGAACTAGCAGAAGGAAGATCTCTGCCTCTCTAAAGAAAAGTCAATAGTGAAGGGGGAGCCAGGTAGCTACTGGAAGCTGCCTTTGATTGTTGCTTTGGAAAGCTAACAAATTGTACCCAGAATTTCAAGCCAATTGCACCAGCCACACAGGGCACATTGGCTGTAGGCCAGGGTTGTAGCCAAAGCCTGGAACTCAATCCAGGTCTTCCTGTGGGTGGAGGGGCTCAACCATCTGAGCCATCAAGGCAGCTCCCCAGGGCCTCTGTCGGCAGGGAGTCAGGACTCAGGGTTTGGGACTGAGTGCAGGTGCTCCTGTGTGATGCTTAGGCATCTCAGCTGGCTGAGCACCCCGGCCCACCTGCTCTTGCAGCTAGCTCTTTTGCCATGTGATGAAACTGAATCTTGGATGCTTGCCTCAGGACTACAGCTGCTGACCGGATGTGTATAAACTAAAATCGAAACTTCAATGAAGTAGTCACAGGTTGTGGATAAGAACTTGCATTTTCTAACATATTGGTCACTCAATACCATGTCAATGAACCCCATAATAATGTAAATCATTGTTAATGTTATGTTGTGGCTTTTCATTGAACGGGATAATACTCTGCCAGCTCTGCCTTCAGACCAGAGATGGTCTCCCCAAGATTCTGTTGAATTTATCTGGACAATAAGAGGCTGGACTGTATGCATGGTACATGCTTGCAATGAAGGAATCTTGATTGAATTTGAACTATAATACTGCAACAAGGTGGAGGAATCCACCACGGGGGGCGGGGGGAGGCGGGGGAGGGGTTAGGGGAATCCCAGAGCATGTGAAACTGTGTCATAAAATGAAATAAGCAAAAAAGACTACAGCTGCTGGTCTTAAGAAATACATTCATGCAAAAGGGAAAGACTATGTATGGATTTTGAAAGTCTTTTGCACCGAAACAAACTTACCTTTACATGGTTCCATTACTCCATGAACTTTTTAAAATCCCCTCCCTTTGTGGCTCAGTGGGGAGTTGAGGCTGCATGTTCTGATGAAGTTCAAGACCATCCCAGACCCCTTAGATGACCTGCCCACTGCTGGCACAGTGGGGGATGCTCCTGAACCCCCGGGCAGAAACCAAATGTGTGGGTTCCCTTTTCCAAACTGCAAGGTGAACACCTACCTGCTTAGCTTTAGCAGGGCAATGTCTGACCGCGAGGGCTCCAAGAATATCTTTCCCACAGTTATGTCCTGAACGTGTGGTTCCAAGTTCTTCTCCTGGTGTGCACCCAGGATGACCCTGTATGATGAAGCAAGATTGCTCCTGGCAACGAGAATGAGCGCAGAAGCCAACAGTGAGCATGGCCCAGCCCTTCAACAAGGGCCCTCCCGTGTCTGCACCACTCCAGGCAGTGGCTTCCAGGCAGCAAGAAACAGGATTCCCAGCTTATTTGCATCTGGCAGTAAAAGAATGTTTTTAGGTCTGCTTGGGGGGGACCCAAGGCCTGTGGCAGTGGACAGCCCTCCATACTTGCAAAGTCACCCTCAGGGGGTCTGCCACACTCCCCTCCTCTCTCATCTGGTAGCCTTGCCAGTTGCGCCACAGGTTTAATAAAGTACAGTGCCTCCTGGTGCCTGCATCACAGTCATGGAACAGCACCCCCTGGTGCCTGTATGACTGCCACAGAGGCAGAGGGGAACCAAGGGGAAGTGGAGAGGGATGGAGTCTCCCCTTAGTGTTCCTGCTCTGATGTACCTCTCCAGGCAGTGTGCAGCGGTCACCACCCACTGTGGGTCGATCAAAGTGCCTCCGCAGAAGTGCTGTCCATACCTAGAAAGAAAACATGCCAGGTGTTAGTTCAGCGCCCATGACCTTGTTTGCTCCATTGTAGAGACAGCCAGAGAGGCAGGTCTACTCCCTTGTGCTTGTGTAACAGTAAGGCCAACAACACATCACAAAGACAGTGGCAGGTCAGACTGTGCTTCCGTACTGAGGTCTTCCAGCAGAGATCACCCACACTGCTCTGTAAGGACAGCTGGGGACACACGGGCACAGCCACCAGCCACTGGCTGCCACACCAAGACTGACCACCATGGCTGAGGTCCATCAGCTCTGGCGACCAACATGAGGGACCAGCCCAAGACACAAGCAGGAGCTGGCCAAGGAGTGCTCATGGGGTGCTCACAGCAGGAGCTGGCCAAGGAGTGCTCATGGGGTGCTCACAGCAGGAGCTGGCCAAGGAGTGCTCATGGGGTGCTCACAGCAGGAGCTGGCCAAGGAGTGCTATTGGGGTGCTCGTAGCAGTGGCTCGGTTTTAGCAGAGGTTCTTGACTTTCACACAAAGTCCTCTACATCACGTGCTTTCCTGCCCCCCCCCCCCGCCCCCCAACAGTGCTGTGTGAGCAGCTTTGACAGTGCGAGGACAGGAAGGCAGGGAGGAAGCACATGACAGCAGGTGTGACACTCAGTTCATCGGGATCGCACCACACATTCTCAGTTCCTGAAGGGTAGAGACTTTGTGCTGCACAGAGGAGGCTAGGAGAGAGTGTAGTCAAGTTTGTTCACAGTGGGATTCAAGCCTATGCAGGAAGCAGAGGTTTTAAAACAATTATTCTACATATTTGAAAGGTGTGTTAGAGAAATCTTCAGTCCACTCTGGCTTACTGCCCAAATGGCCCCTGATGGCCAGGGCTGGGCCAGTCCAAAGCCAGAAGCCAGAGGCCAGGAGCTTCTTCTGAGTCTTCCAAAGACTTGAGCTACCTTCCCCTGCTCTTGCAGATGCAGTCACAGGGGGACTGGAAGTAGAGTGGCCAGGAATTGAACTGCTACCCATATGGCATCCCAGCATGGCAGGCAGAAGCTTAACTTGCTACACCACAGCACTGGTCCTGGGGGAGGGCTTTTCAGTGAAGTGAGCACAGGGAGCTGGCCTTGTGTCTTGTCGGCCCATGACACATGTGCTTGACAAAAAGACACTCAAGGAAACAGAACCCTTAAAGGAGCGTTTCTCTGAAACAGTGGCTCCTATAGCCAGCAGCCTCCACGCTCGCTCGAGGACTCCAAAAAAAGCACCCTTTCCTTCCCATCGTACCATGAGCCTTGCACTCTGTGTGCGTGGTCAGTGAGCTCGGGACCTGCTGTTGGCTACTGGTATTCCAGAACAAGATCCCCATTCTGGTCACTTTTAAAATAGAGAACCTAGAAAAAACACCGTCTACTTTTCCTAGGTCTTTTCTGTAAAGGAACCCCAGGAATCGAGGGGGTCTTCCAGGGCTCACAAGGAAGGGCAGCATAAACCAGGCTTACCTCGTTCTAAGACTTATCTGCCAGGGCCAGGAATGTGGGTAGGACACACAGCCCCCGACAATTCTTTGCGAACATTTCTTTGGCTCCACTGTGGGCTTGCCGCATTCTAAGGGCGAGGAGGCTGTGGCACAAAGCAAGACAGAACACTGCAGGTGAGCCCAAGACAAGGCCGTGGCTGTGACTGTGCCTGAACTGGAGGGCTGAGCTTCTTGGGAAGACGCTGAGTTTCCAAGCTGTAGCCTCTCCTTTCAAAGCACTGTAAGCCCGGCTCATGGCTTTGTTGGAGGAGCGAAAAGAGAAATGGGGGCAGCTGGAATTAGAACGAGGCTTTTCTGAGAGGACCATGAAGCGATTATCAACCCCTTCCTCATTGTCACATCTAAACTGTGGCACATCTACTGAGGACCAATGTCTTTCTCCCTGTGTGTGTGTGTGTGTGTGTGTGATCAGCTGTGGCAAGCATAACTGAAACACTACCTTCTCTTAGCCAACTTCAGGACAGCTGCCACGACTAACTCATTTACCTCTATTTACCTCCCACCTGCTCCCTCTCAATTACACTAGCCTGCGAGCTTTCTAGAGAGTAGCCATGATATCCCTTTTGGGAGCTGCAAAGTGTTTAAAATGGTCCCCTCATGTGTCTGTGGTCCTCCGAGGTCTTCAAAAAAATATCAGTGTAAGCCGCTGTATTATTATACGGCAGGGGGACATTTTTTCAGCCCGGACCAATCAGAGATTCTGCGCTGGGAACTGAGTTTTCCAGATGATTTTCCATTTGCCATGACTTGTTCCAAGAATATTTATGGAAACAATTTTTTTTCTTAAGGAAACACACAATGTGATAAACTCCTCTTCTCCAACCCTGAGCCTGGGATCTTCTGTGGCAAGTTGCTTGGGGAAGGAAGGAAGGAAGGGAAGGGAAGGGAGGAGGAGAAAGAAGGAAGAACTCACTGCACACAGGGATGTCACAGTAGTCAAACAGCTTCTTTGGGTTCATGGTGTAGCACCAGGGCCCATTGGTGTCACCGTCAGGGTTGCGGCAGTACTGGAAACAAGCAGGGATCTGAGACACGGCTCATGTGCCGCAGAAAAGGGGGGCAGCATACCATGGCTTCTCTCTTCCCCCCCCTCAGCACTTATGTTTCCAGATGCCTGTTGTGACAGCTACCATTGCACATCAGTATGAGTGGGTTAAGGGATACCAGACACATGGGCAAGCATTATTTGGGACAGTTTCCAAATAGGGCCAGTGGATGAGTCTGAGTGGCCCAGGTGGGAAGCCCTGGCCTCCATGTTGGCAGCTGGTGGATTTGGAGAGAATTCAGAAGGTGAGCTGTTCTCTGGGAGGTGGGATGTCTGAGAGCTGTCCTGAGGGCCTTGCGTCAGGCACGCTGGCCTTTGCCCTCTGGCCCTGCACCCGCGACCCCCTGGCAGTGCTCCTGCTTCAGCACCCAGCTAAGCTCCATTGTCTACTTCCTTGGCTTTGGATTTTCAGGTATGGATGCAGTCAGGGTGCCAGCATCCTGGTACAGGTGGCCCATTGTGGCACATCTCAGCTGCCTCACTCACATGAGCCAGTTCCCCCAACAAGCTCCCAGCCCATCATCCAGTCTCTCTGTAGAGCTTTCTCATCAGCAGGTGCTCAGCCAGGGTGAGGGTGGGGGGAGCCTGAGGGCTCTGGTGATGAGAATGTGTGAAGCCAGGGGATCTTCAGCCCCAGGACCTTGGGGCACTGTTGTCTCAGCTCGCTCCTGCTGTGGTCCTATACAAAGTATGCAATTAATCTCTGCCCTGCCCACCCCACTGCCTGGCTCGCAGCTCCTGGACAATCAGCTGAGGGGACCTGACAGGAGCACCTAACGCCTTGGGAACTTCCTGGTGCCAGGGAAAGTCCCTCTATGAAACTGGATGGGGGCTTATTGCCCGGGGGAACCAACCATGTGATTAGAATGTTGGGGCTTCAGCTCCATTCTCCTCCCTCCACAGATCGCTGAAGGCCGTGGAAACCCAGAGGATGATATTTGCAGACCCTTTGGATAGCTCTCCTGGAGGGTGCCCTGCCTACAGAGGGTGACCGAGCTCGGTGCTTCTCCCATGCGCTCACTCTACCCTGGCCAACCCCCCAGCTGGTTGCACATCCTCTGTAACATCCTTCATGATTCATGGGTCTGGGCAGAGTGTTTGCAGAAGCTACTGAGACAAATCAACCAGGCCCTAGGATCAAGGAACCTTTCATTTACAACCCATCAGAAGTCCAGGCCATAGTCTACAACCTGTAAGGTGATTGGAACCAGAAGTGGGGCACTGGACCCACTCCAGTGTCAGAACCGAGTTACACTGTAGGAGGCTCCGCAGTGTCCCATGGAGACTGCCTGTGTAGGTTCCAGGGTTGCATTAAGTGGCATGTGAGTATAGAAACCCTTGGGTTCTCCTGTTCTTACCTCCCAAAATAAGCTACCCCAGAGTGGGAACCAGCTCTGTAGAGTTCTGATGCCCTCCCCAACCCTGAGCTTTTCTAGACAATTAGGGCATCTTTGGTCCAGGAAGCCGGAGGACAAACACCAGGCAGATGCAACACAGCAGCTAGGCAGGACAATCTGGAGCTGGGTGCCAAGAAGCTGCAGCAAGACATGCCAGCTCTCTGGGCTCTCTGCGTGCCACGCTGATGCCAGGTGCCTTCTGAGCTTCCTCCCACCGAAGGCCAGTTCAAGCCACCTCTCCCAGACCCAAGACCTGTGATTGAAGATGAGTTGACAAAAGAGGCTTACGTTTCGTTCCAGAGCTGCACGTGGGTTTGACTCTGGCGTGAAGATGCTGTGCTTGTGGGGCTCCTGGGCAGCCCAGCCCTGGCAGGGAGTGCCATCAGCAGTGGTGGCCTTCTTGCCCCGATATCCTTTGCCAATGCCAAACATGCAGTCTGCCGGAGACAAAGCAGATGGTTGTATGCCCCTGCCTTATGGACCCCAGACCATAGAGGGCACAGGCTGCAGTGCCAGGTCTCTGAGACACCAGGATCAGGCCCCCCCCCCCCCCGAGGCCCTGGCTGGCTGGCCATCCTGGAGACAATGTACTTTAAGGAGTCGTGATCCCACTGTGTACTTTAAGGATGAATGGCCAAAGACTGGTGTGGTGGATCAACAGGCTAATCCTCTGCCAACATCTCACGGGGGTCCAGTTCATGTCCCAGTTACTCCACTTATGATCGAGCTCCTTACTTATAACCTGGGAGAACAGAAAAGGTGACCTAAGTGCTTGATCCGCTGCACCTGCATGGAAGAACCAGAGGAAGCTCTTGGCTCCTGGCTTTGGATCAGCTCAGCTCTGTCAGGCCATCGTGGCCATTTGAAGAATGAATCAGCAGATGGAAGAGCTCTCTGTATTTCCTTCTCTATATATAAATCAGTGTTTCAAATAAAAATAAATCTTTGAGAAAGGTGACCAGAGGTGTTTACTGCCTTGGAAGGCACCACCGATGGTACAGATTGGGACCTTGGCAGGGATGCCAGCATAACCACCTTTGTAACAAGGGGCTGCATAAGAGAGAGTCTCCTCCCCAGCTCTTCTTGTCTCAGCGACCACAGACTTCACACCTGGTTCCGCAGTAGCCTCAACTCTTGGCGGTTGGGCCTCAGGAATGGTCAGTGCGGGGCCAGGGACAGTCTCCGAGCACCTCTGCAGGTTGCAGTACTCCCACCGGACTCTCGGGTCCGTGGTGTAGCACCACGGCCTGCTGTCGCCATCCGGGTTCCTGCAGTAGTTCATCGTCAGGCCCCTGTTGATACCAAGACATCTCAGGTCACGAGGCTGGGGACTCTTCAGGGGGGTCCCTGAACCCTCTGGATTTGGTTTTAACGAAGTAGGAATGAGTTGGTACTAGAGCGATGGCTTAACTGGCTAATCCTCTGCCTGCAAGCTCCCACATCCCATATACACACTGGTTTGTGTCCTGGCTACTCCACTCTGGTCCAGTTCCTAATGGGCTGTGAAAGCAACAGAGGATGACCCAGCTTCTTGGGCCCCTGCACCAACATGGGAGACACAGGTGAAGCTCCTGGCTCCTGGCTCCAAGTCAGCTTAGCTCCAGCCATTGTGGTCATTTGAGGAATAGGTCAGTGATAGAAGATCGTTCTCTCTGCCTCTTGTTCTCTCTGTAAATCTGCCTTTCACGTAAAAATAAATGAATCTTTAAAAAATCGAAGTGTGAATCAGTCGCATTGAAATACTAAAGGCATGATGACAATGCCACACAAGGCGGTTTCCATGTGCTAGTCAGCTGAGTACATTTCAAAATAAATAAATAAAAATAAATAAATACCACTTTATATAAAGCCTGAGACAATCCATATGGAAATGTGGGAAGAACATTCTAGAATATCCGGATTTTCCAGCGTCATTTCAGAGTATGCACATTACAGATTATCCATCAGTATTTCTCTATAACAAATCAGTTGTCGTTCCTCAGGATGATGACACTCCCAAGCCTGCTCTGTTAGTCAGGGACTTGCAATGTAACCACAACACTGCACATTCACAATAAAATGGTGTTACTATAAACAGGTAGATCAAATGGTGTTACTATAAACAGGTAGATCAAGAAGGTTTAGTTTGAATTTGAAAAGCAGCAGAGCTGGGCTGGAAATCGGACTGTCGGGCAGCGTGCTGTTGCTGCAGGCTGCTGTCATGGATGGAAATCTGCCCTCACTCTCTGCCCAGGCTCTGCCAGCTGTGTCTGCTGGGGGAAGGAAAGAACAGTCAGACGGAGGGACGAAGGGAGATGTCCGGCATTGCACGTGCAGACATCAGGACTGAGCTGCACTCTGTCGCCAGAGAACATCTCCCCAGCCGCCTGGAATCTTAAGGCTCAGGAAATGTCGTACAATCTCGCTGCACGACCAGCCTCTGTCACAGAACACGTCAAGTCCAGCGCTACTGCGGCCGGCAGGATGCCCTTCTGCTGGCTGCCTCCCGCAAGGGCCTGAGCCAGGCTGGAGCCACAAGCCAGGAACTCCAGTGTGGGTAGAAAAAATCCCAGCCACTAGAGCCACCACCTGTGCTGTCTTCCAGGGTGTAGACAGGCAAGAAGCTGCCTGGAGTCAGGAATGGACCCTGACCTTGAACTCAGGCACTCCAAGATGGAACGCGGGTGTACATACCAACGGCTGTTCCAAACAGCTGCTTCAGTCAGATGCGCTTTGATGAACACCTTTACCTGTGTGATCCATACACCTGTCATGGTGTAGGACATTCCATCCCCAAGATTGCTCCCCTGTGCCACAGCTGACCTTGAATACCCTGCTCTCTCAGAGGGAAACGCCATTAGTGTCTTTCTCTGTACATCAACAGCACCTCTTACAGGACTTCGTGCAAACAGGCTCACTCGGAATACGCACTTCTGCGTCTAGATTCTCTCCTTCATAGAACATGGCAGAGCTCCATGCAGGCTACATGAGAGTGTCGGTAGCTGCTTCTTGTTTATTCCGGAGTAGCATTCCAGTGTGGAAATATGGCAGAAAGTACTTGTTCACTTTCCTATCAGCAGACACTGAAGTCACTTCTGGCTGGGGGCTATTCTAAAGCTGCTATAAATTCTCTTGGAGAGAAACTGACTATGTAGGCCGTTTCAGCCTCCCAGGGTAAATGCTCAGGACCGCAGTGGTAGATACTCGGCACAGACGCGTGCGCACTTAACAAGGAACCGTCAGATTGTTTTTCAAAGGGCTTAGTCCATTCCACATGACCAGCACGTGTGCGAGCCACACAGCCTTGTTCTCACGCTGGACACCACTTCCTGCCTGTTTCCTTAGTAGCAGCCATTTGCACCTGGGCTTGGCTGGTGGTCGCTCACTGCAGTGGTAGCTGGGATGAGAAGCCTCAGCTTCAGGAGCTTCTTGGCTGTGTGTCGTCGCTGCGTGATGCCCGTTTGAGGCAGCTGCCCGTTTTCATGGGGTCATCTCTCCTCTCGTTAGGAGGAGCGCTTCCCATGCTGCTGCTTGGGTGTGTGGGATGGGAGTGGTTCTCTCCCAGTCTGTGCCTTGCCTATCCAGTTTCTGAACAAGGTCTGTTAGCATACACAAATTTTAATTTTATATAAGTCCATATTATGATTTGTTTTCCGTTTTACATTTAATGTTTTACATTTAATGTTTTCTGGGTCTTGCCTTAAAAAACACAAAACTTGCTTTACCCAAGGTTGTAAAAACATTCTTTTATGCCTACCTCTCTCTAGAAGTTCTGTATTTCTTTTTTTTTTTCTAAGATTTATTTGTTTTTATTGGAAGACAGATAAATAGAGAAAAGGAAAGACAGAGAAAAGAAAGATCTTTCATCTGGTTTAAATCTCAAAGTAGTTACAACTGGAGCTGAGCCGATCAGAAGCCAGGAGCCTCTTCTGGGTCTCCCATGTGGGTGCAGGGTCCCAAGGCTTTGGGCCATCCTCAACTGCTTTCCCAGGCCACAAGCAGGGAGCTGGATGGGAAGTGGAGCACTCAGGACACAAACCAGCACCCATATAAGACAAGGCAAGGATTTAGCCACTGAACCATCACGCTAGTCCCAGAAGTTCTGTATTTCAGCTAGAGTTTTGCCGTCTACTTTCAGGCCCATGAGGTATTCCAAATCAATAATTAAAGATTAAAGATGGCTTGGTTTCATGGGTTTCGTTTCTTCCATGCAGCTGTCAGTTGTCTTGAATTTATTGTGGAGATATCCTTCCCTGTTGAATTGCTTTGCCGTCTGTATGCGAAATCCACTGACCTTGCTTACATAGGTCTGTTTCTGGGCTTTGTTTTCACATTTGAATACGTTTTGCCAAGACCACAGTGCCTTGATTACCATACTCATATATTAAATCAGAATATGGAACTCCTCCAACCTCACTCTCCTTCCTAAAAATTAAAAAATTCAGTGGGGTCAGCATTGTGGCATAGCACAGTAAGCTATTCCCTGCGATGCTGGCATCCCTTTTAGGCACCAGTTTGTGCTCTACTTCCAATCTAGCTCCCTGTAGGTGGATGGGGAAAGCAGTGAATGACAGCTTTAGTGTTTCATTTCCTCCCTACCTCCCTCTGTCCTTCCTTTTTCTTTTTCTTTTTCTTTTTTTTTTTTCCTTTGTTTGGGCCATTGCTGCCTAAAAATAATGAGCCAACATAGTTCTCATTTCCAGTCTTAGAAAGTCTTGGGGCTGTCATGGTGGCCCAACCAGGTAATCCTCCACCTGCAGTACTGGCATCCCATATGGGTTCTAGTTCATGTCCTGGCTGCTCCACTTCCCATCCAGCTCCCTGCCTGTGGCATGGGAAAGCAGTTGAAGATAACCCAAAACCTCGGGACCCCGTGAGAGGTCTAAAAGAAGCTCCTGACTCCCGGCTTTGGGTCGGCTCAGCTCTGGCCATTGCAGCCACTTGGGGAGTGACCAGCAGATTTTCTGTCTCTCCTTCTCTCTGTAAACCTGCCTTTCCAATAAAAATAAATAAATATTTTAAGAAAGAAAGAGTGAGCGAGAGAGAAAGTCTTTCACCCTCTGAATGGCTGAAGGTTTTTGCAGATTTGCATGTTTAGGTTAAAGCAGTTTCTTTCTCATCTTTTTTTGATAACTTGTGTCATGAACAAATGCTAAAATGTATCACATTCTCTTCTGCATCCGCTGAAAGAAATGTGGACTGTATTGTGTTAAGCTATTTTCTTTTTTTTTAACCCTTTTTTTTAAATTGTTATTAATGTTAAGCTATTTTCTACACTGAGGGCTTTGCAAATACATTCCTGAAGGGAAGCCACTGTGGCCTGTGGTGTTCACTGTGTTCCAGACAAAAACAATCTGTACGTCTGAGTGGATTCCATTTCCAGGTATTCTGGTTAAGGGCTTTGTATTTACGTGCACATCAGACACTGTTCTGGAGCTTCTTGAAATGGCCCTCCCTGCTTTCTGTACCTGGGTATCTGGGGCCTCATACATTGAGTTGAGAAGTGTTTCCTCCTGTTCTATTTTCTGTAATAAACGATGAAAGGTTTGTACTCTTTCTTCCCTAAATACTTGATAAAGTTGCCATGAAGACATCTGGGCCAGTGTTTTCTTAAGAACTTATCTGACATCATAATTATGTTATAGGACTTTTGGGGCCAGCACAGTGGTATCGCGGGGTAGTCTTCCACTTTCCATATGGAGTCCATCTGGTGCATCCCATACGGGCACTCATTCTTCTGCTCTGCTTTGGCTTCTGCTCCCTGCTAACGGTCTGGGAAAGCAGCGGAGGATGGCCCACGTCCTTGGGTTCCATACCCACATGGGACGCCCGGAAGGAGCTCTGGGCTCGCAGCTTCAGACCAGGCAGCTCTGGCCATTGTGGCCATGTGGGGAATGAATCAGAAGATCCAAGATCTTATTCTCACTCTTTCTGTGTCTCTGCCTTTCTCTTTCCGTAATTCTGACTTTCAAGTAACATCAGAATAAATAAATGTATTTATTTATTTATAATAAATAGATGTTATAAATAAAAATGCTTCATTTTAAAAATTGTACTTTTCAAAAAAATTATTGAGGTTGTCAATATGATTTTCTAATTATTTTCCTATTCATTTTTAATATCTGCAGATTCCAGGGCCCATGTTAAGCAGCACTGAGTTCAGCTGCCACCCACGGCTCCAGCATCCGGATCAGAGTGCCAGCCATGGTCCTGGCTGCTCTGCTTCCGATCCATCCCCCTGCTACTGCACCTGCGAGGCAGCAGAGAGGCCCAAGGCTCCCTGCTCCTTGCAGTTCTGGACTCGTAGTTTTAGTCAGGCCACTGGGTGAATGCTATAGGTGCACTTAAAGTGTGTTTTGTGGTTGAGAATAATGTGAAATAGGCCTACATTTTCCTTTAAAAGTTCTACACTTTTCCTGTGGTTTTTGGTTGTTGTTTACTTATTCTCTCACATTTCATTTTGGGAGAATTATAACTATATTGAAGAGAATTGAAGAAATCTCCAGCTGTAATTCTAAATTTACCTATTTTTCTCTCTAGTTCTGTCAGTTTCCTATTTTTCTCTCTAGTTCTGAAATTTTAAGGATGCAATACACTTAGCAGTAAATCCATATGAACGGCTCCCTTGACATGGGAAATGATCTATTTTTCTTTGTGGTTCTACTTCTGGCCCTGAAACCTATTTTGCCTGATATTACATGAATCACTCCAGCTTTCTTTTCATTTATGTTTTCACGGTTTTTACACACATTTAACCTATATCATGATATAATGTCACATTACAGATTGTGTGTTACTAGGGCTGGCATTGTAACACAGTGGATGAATCTGCTGCCTGGGATGTCAACAGCCCATATCAGAGTGTAGGTTATAGTCCTGGCTGCCACAGAGGATGGCTCAAGTCCTTGGGCCCTTGCTCCCACATGGGAGACCTGGAAGAAGCCCCTGATGTCAGGTTGGTTCAGGTCTGGCCAATGCAGCCATTTGGGAAGTGAAACGACAGATGGAAGCTCTCTCCTCTCTGTAAATTTGCCTTTCAAATAAAGATAAGTAAATCTTTAAAAAAGATTTCTGGAATATTCTTCCTCACATTCTGGATCTAAGAGAAATGTGGGCATTAAGAAGCTAGCTTCTAGAATACACAGAAATGTAAGTTGGCTGTTGCTCCTGCTGTGGTTAAAATCAAAGACCTACGCGTCGGGGATGTTCTCCGGGGTCTTCTCGTGCTTGTGTGGTTTCATGGATGTCCAGGACTGACATTTCCTCCCTGTAACGGTGGTGGATGACGTCCCTCGGTAACTCTGCCCGTTACCCTGGAAACACTCCTGGACCACCGGGGTCTGCTCGGGGGGCTCTGAGATCAAAACAGAAGAAAGCAAGCTGAATGATGATTGGAGCAAAGGCAGAGGTGAAGCCATTCCTGACCTGCATAGCTCTGCAGTTTCTCAGTGGACAGACAGCACCCAAGGGCATTTATAACAGCCTTGAATTGGAATGACCTTACTTACCTTGGCAATACTTAAGTTAAACTAAAAACAAAAGAAAAGAAAACAAAACAAAATGTGGATGAGGGTGTTACCAGCTGGCCTTCAGGCTCCTTGAGTGGGGTGTTTCTGAGCATGACGCAGCAGCGACCAGAGGCAGATGTACCCGTGGCACAGCTGACCGTGGCGAGGGGTGACATGAAATTCCTTCACACCTCCCCGGAATCCTTAGCTAATCCGAAGTCAGAGAGCTTTGGAGGAACGGGAGAGGGAAGCATCCAGATCTAGGACTTTGGGCAAAGATCCATCGTCCCAGGAAGAAGCAATACAGACAGGGACCCATCCCTTTGTGTCCACAACTCTGAGCTGATGCAAGTGGAGGAGTCCTACTGCTGCGCTTAAGGCCCATCACAGGCCACATCACCGAGGACTCACTAGAGCCTGCCTAGGAAGGCAGAGCAGCGAGACACTGACCCACTCCTGCCCCCAACTGGACAACGAGCAAGCAAGACACAGCGCTGTGTTGCTCAGGTCAGTTAAACTGCCTCTGAAGTGACCACCATAGGCTGCAAATGTGTCGACGCTGAGGAAACTCTTGAGCACCCAACACCTTATTGGAGGAATTATAAAGGTTGTGGACACCCTGAAAATAAAACTGGCGATAGCAAAATCCAAATTCAGTTCAACAGCTGACTGCATTGACTGAATGACCCACACAGCATGCCCACTGACAGGTGCTCTGACAACGTGTAGAAATTGTCTTTGGCATTCTCCATTCTTCTATTCACACCGTCCAGCAGTTGATACAAAATTACAAGGCACAGGCGGGGCAGGGCCAGCGAGGCTGAGGAGCCACTGCTAGGTAGCAAGGCCATCGATGGGCTTGCACTGGGACTGTAAGACAGCCACAAAGCATCAAGTCAAAGGACTTGGTGGTAAAAGCAGGCAGCTGGCATGGAAAGACAGATGATTCAGCAGAAACAGAAAGTGTAAAAAAGAGTAAAATAAAATGCAAGAATATAAAAATCACAGTATCAAAGATTTTGAAAATTCCTTCAGTGCCCTTTTTAGCCAACAAGATACCAATGAGAAAATCAAACTGTGAACTTGAAAATAGGCCTATAGAATCACGCAAACTGACACAAAGAAATAAGGAGTCAGTGGAAAAAGAACAAATACGTGAGGATTCCGAGACCGTAGGAGATGTCCTAACCTGCGGGTACACAGAATCCAAAAACGAGAAGAGATTTCAAGAGAAAATTGGGAAATAATTGAATATAGATGGGTACCTCCAAAAGGTCATAGAAAAGTATAATTATGAGAGAAGTTTATTTGGCACAAAGAATTGATATGTATGCATTATTTTTTTTTTCATAGGGTGGTTGAGAATTTTACAAAAATAAGAAAAACGGAATCTGTAAATCCAAGAAAGGTCAGAAAACTCCAAGCAGAATAAATACAAAAAAGGTGAATGATCACACACGTGGACACGCCACTGTGGACTGCTGAAAAGCAGAACAAAGATGTGCAAGTTTTACAGGCAGCAGAGGCAGATAAAGCGTGAGGTACGCAGGAGCAAGGTGCAATAGCAAAGACTCCTAGTCAGGGACCGTCCACCATAGAAGACTCTGGAGTGGGGACAGCGAGCAAGCTCGTATCACACCCAACAAAGCCGTATTCAAAATAGCCACGGCCCCCTGACACTCAGAAGCTAAAAGAATTCAGCTGGCAGACCTGTGCTACAAGAACTGCTGGAGGCCGGTTTTAACACAAGCATTACTATATGGCATCTGAGCATTACATGGTCGTTTGGAGCCACAGAGAAAAATAAGCAGTTCCATAAATGATTAAATAAATGAACTAAAGAGAAAAACATTTTTATATATGTTCATCTTAAGGCATAAATGATCAGGATCAATGTACTATGAGGAAATTATTTGAGAACAATAGCACAGCACTTGGGAGAACAAGGGAACAGAGTGTTGTAAGGCTGTTATACCTCAACTGGAACACTTACTGAAGACAGAAGGCGAAGAGTTAAAGATGTATATGGTAAACATTGGGAAAACGTAAACATCTTTTGAATTTTGTTCTAACTAGTAGGTAAACAGTGTGGATAAAAGACAATCCCAAAAATAGCCACTCTAAGATAAGGCAGGGAAAAAAGGATGAGAGAAGAGTCTAATAGGAAAAGGAGCAGTTACACGGCTTAGCGACAGGTGTAAATGTCACCACATTAATGATGCATATGAACAGCCCAGACTTCTCAGTCAGAAAGCTGAGAAAAAGGTACAGCACACAAAAGCTGACTTCACCACAAATCCCCAGAGATGAAGCCAGCGCTGGCTCGGGCTGGGCCGGTGGTGAGTTCTGACTGCACGGCACCCCTTCTTACCTGTGCTATCCACTGAGTCCATGGTCACAGGGGAGGAGTCACAGGAGGGGATGTCACAGTAGTCCCACCTCGTCTCGTTGTTGGTCGTGTAGCACCAGGGAGCTTTTTCCCCATCGGGATTACGACAGTAGTTTTCATCCAGAGCCCTGAGAGAGAAGTGATGGTAAGCTTTGCTCGGCAGACAGGCTAGAGGGACTTCTACACGGCGTTATTGGGTGACCCAAACTGATGTGTGTGTGCAGGAGGAGCTGGCGCTGAGCCTGAGTCCATGAGAGGGGTTCTGTGGCACTGTGCCGGGAACGTCGCGAGCAGTTCCCAGGCTCTGCCTGCCACCGGCAGCATTCAGTGTCACCAGGCAGTGGTTCTCAAGCTTGCCCACGTGTATTGCTGAACCCCACCTGCTGCATTTCTGATTTAATAGGTCTGGGGTGGGGGCCCACAGATTTGTATTTATGGAAAGTTCCCAGTGATGCTTTTGGTGCTGTCATGGACACCTCCTCTGCCTGTGTTGTCAACACTGTTCCTTGCAGAGAGAGCTCTGGAGTTTTGAGCCCTCTCCCATGGCACCCATGGTAAAGGTAGAGCCTGTAGGATTTCACCTCCCCAGGCAATGGGGGGTACTTACTTGCAGGGGAAGTTTTCTGGGGTCCTGTTGTGGCGGTGAGGGGTCTGCTCACTCCAGCGCTGACAGGTGAACCCTGATTTGGTGACAGCCACGGTCCCTCGGTAGCTCTCACCTTTCCCCTTTAGGCACTGGTAGGTAGGACCAGAAGTGGGAGGGGGTGTTTCTTGAAGGGGGAGAATAAATGACAGTGAGTATGCTTCTAAGCAATGGGTGCATAGTCAATGCCAGAGCATGACAGATACCAAGTGTTCCAGCCCTGGTTGCCTGCCCATCCTTCCTAGAGATTTGGTTCTTGAGCATGGTGACACAACATGTTGGGGCACCACTTGCAATGCCAGCACTGCATATCGGTACCAGCTGGACTCCCAGCTGCTCCAGTTCTGATCCAGCCCCACGCTAACGCACTGGGAAGCAGCAAAAGATGACCTCCTCAAGGAATTTACTCCCTGTCCTTTCTGTGGGACAGCAAATGCAACTCCAGGCTCCCAGCTTTGGCCTGGCCCGGCCTCACCACTGCAGCCACTTGGGTGGCAGGGGGGAGGTTGAACCAGCAAGCGGAAGAGTGCTCTTATTCTCTCTCCGTTATTCTGTATACTAAATAAATAAATGAACCATTAAAACACATACCGAGAGGTAAAGTTCCAGAGAGACCATCCAAGAACCTAACATCTTGGAAATCTCTACCAGGAGCAAAAAGAACCCTTGGTATGTGGACACCCCAAACAATCTTTCCCCTAACCAACAAATGCTTCATAAGAACAGTGAGATCAAGAACGGGGGCTTCCCCCAGGGCTCTGAGCATGTGCAGGGACCACGCTCCCTGGTCCTAGGGCCCCTACACTCACCACAGCGAGGTATGTTGCACAGCTCCCAACGTTTTTTGGGGTCGGTGGTGAAGCACCAAGGCCCTGGCTCGCCATCGGGGTTCCGGCAGTAATTATTCTTCAAGTTCTTGTTGGGAAATCTGAATGGGTATCAGAGATTTCCATAGCACGGAGTCCCTGACCAGAGAGCCTTTTCAAGGGAGCGAAAAGTGAGCACCTGTTGTAGGCAGGGCACTGTCAGGTCTCCCTCAACCACTAGCTCGGGTGGAATCCTCCAAAGCTGGCCATCTAAAGCAGGAAGATGGACTCAGCATGAGTAGTTAGTGTCAAAACCGCCGGCCAGGACTTAGCCCATCCAGAATCACCCAGTGAAAGCCAACCCTAGCTGCAAAGAACGCAGAAATACCAAGGACGTGCTTGCTGCCTAAAGATGCCTTCACGATGTGCTCAGACATGAAGCAGCTGGGAAAGTTTGTTCCTTCCAGACTCCCAGACAGGTGCTGTGGGTACCCAAAACTCAAAGAAGCCAAAATGAGCAGTGTCCAGTACGCTACGTCTCCTGGTTCCTAGAAGCAAATCTGCCCTTTCAGGGGGCCTGGAGGCCTTTACTGTACACTACCTCGGAGGGAAATTGGCGACTTCCGTGTTTTAGGCTAGCTCCTTGGAATAGGAGGTGCATAACCACCAGGTGTGTGGTTATCCACAGGAAAAGCTATGACTTGCCATCGTTTTTGTATTCCCAGGAGCCATGGCACCAGAGGTTTCAGAGACTGGAGAGGGGAGCAGAGCTAAGGGAGAGCTGGTTTTCCAGAACAGTGAAAGGAAAATGGAATTGTCAGTGTCCTCTAGGACTCAGCAGCACTTTCTAAAGCAGGGACCTCAGTCCTCAATCTCATGGTCCCCTTTGAGAAAAGAAAAAAGCACTGCTATCTACACCCAGCCAATCCTGGAGGTTCCAGAGACCCGTGATGCTCACCTACAGGGTTAGGAGGCCCTGTGAGTTGCTGGAATAAGGAAAGAGGATGCAGAGAAGCAAAGAAAAGAAGAAAAGATTGGGGAATCTACACTCTCGTCTTGCAAATCCTGAGGTGTGCACAGACAACACGCAGATGCAGAAATGCCACAGAACAGACTGGAGGGGGGTGCTGAGATGCTGCGTCCCTGGGGTCACACTGACTGTGAGAGGGCACAGTGCACCTGCAGACTGATGGGAGGGGGCCAGCCCGGACACACAGAAGCAGCAGGTGCTTGCTCATTCCTGGAGGGCTGCAGAAAGCTCTCACGCGCGGCCTCTGTCGGCATCTACAGCCTCTGGCATTGGGAGACTTACTTGGACGGGACGTATCCATGAGCATGTGGTGTCTGTGAGTCCCAAGCCTGGCATTCAATCCCAGACATCGTCCTGGAAACTTTGCCAGCGTAATTTTCTCCGCTGCAGTGCATACATTCAACTGGGCCGAGTAAGCAAAGCAAGCAAAGAAGTTATTTTTTTTTCACCAAAATAAACTCAAGGTTTTAAAATCACAATCTCACAAGCTTTGTATAAAAGATGTATTTATTTGAAAGTCAGAGTGAGAGCCAGAGATCTCCCGTCTGTGGCTTTGCTTCCAAACTGCCTGCAGTAACTGGGGCTGTCGACCTAGCTCCACGCAGGTCGCCCGTGTGCAGAAATCCAGACTCTAAAGTCATTATCCACTGTCACTGCCTCCCATGAAAAGGAAGCTGGACCGGAAGTGGAGGAGCCAGGATTCAAGCCAGCCTCTCTGCTCTGGGCTGCTAGCACTCCAGGTGTCAGCTTCACCCACTGCACCACCCTCCCACAAACTTTTTGAAGTACTCTCACCCTTAATTTCCAACAATCCCTGGACACTAAACTTGACAGCAAGCACTCAGAATCTCTAGTGTAATCCAAAATGTTTTTGTCTTGCTAATGGTGCAACTGGCATACTTAGGTCAGTAGCCCCTCACCTGTTAACAGTCAATGCCACACTCTGAGTTCCCCACCAGGCAGGTGGGGGTGGGAGGACATACGTGCCTTCTCAGAAGCCTGTAAATCCTTCATCAATGTTCTTAAGTATTTGATGTCTTCATTTTAATCATGATCCTTTAGAATTCTGGATAAATTATTCTGGCCATTCGGATGACTGTCAAACAAGCTAGTGCTGTTTTCAGATTTTTGTGCTGAAATTTCTGTTGGTGCTCATGACCTTGCTGGAGAAAAGATTCTCCTAAAGAGACTGAACCTATCTGCATGGCGGAGAAACATGACGGGCTGGATGTTCTTCTTTCTTTTTCCTTTTTTCCCTCCTTCCCTCCCTCCTCTCTTCCTTTCTTCCTTCTCTCCCTTTTTCCTTTTCAAAGTTATCTAAAACCTGAAACTTCAATTAGGAATGGCTGAAGTCACTCAGTGGGGCTAAGTGAACTGCTTCTCTAATCTCATGGACTCAACACAAAAATGATGCATTCATGGCAGTCAGAGCCACGTGACCTGTGACACCATGCACAAATAAAGCACCCCACAATCCAGTTAGGGAGAGGGGTACAGGAGCTGAGCTGTCACCTTGCCCGTGAGTCCCACCTTTACCTAGTAAGACGAATTTATTTTCCAGCATGGGCCTATGGGGTACCCTACCGGATTGGCTGGCCCATCACGACAGCCAATTGCTGACTTAGCTGGTTCATCACTGAGCCTCAACTGAACCATAAAACCTACCACATTTCATTAAGACTGTGCCAATTTTATTGATTTTTTTGTGTTTTTATTTCAACATATTCAATTGAAAAATTGGTTTTGAGTTTTATCCTATGTAAGAGTTTCAGATGTAACAAGTGTGTGGCACAGTGGGTTGGGTACTGCTTGTGGTCCATCCCATATTGGAGGGCCAGCTTAAGTCCCGGCAGCTCTGGTTCCAATCCAGCTCCAGGCTGAGGCCCCTGGGAAGGCAGCAGGTGATGGCCCAAGCGCTAGGGCCCCTGTTCTGCACCTGAGAGACCTGGATGGAGTTCCTGGCCTCTGGCTTCAGCCTGGCTCAGCTCCAGCTGTTGCTGTCACCTGGGAAGGAAACCAGCAAATGGAAATGTCTGCCACTCTGCCTTTTGAATACATCTTTTTTCTTTGTGTGTAGAATTTAGGTCCAGCTTTGCAATGACATCTTAATAAAATAACCCAGGTCAGTGCTGGGGATTTGAGCATCTCTCACGCCTTGGCAAGTGAGTCATTTGTTACTCATCAGCATTATGCTCAACATTGTCAATGGGGGCCCCATAGGCCATGACTTTATGGCAGGTGACCGTACAGTGCAATGCCTCCCAGGGTGGCTCTGACCTTCACACTCTGGGATGTCACAGTAATCATATCGCTTGTTTGGGTCCGTTGTGTAGCACCAGGGCCCCTGTACATCGTCATCGGGGTTCCTACAGTAGTTCTTCTCCAGGCCCTCCGCAGGGTTTTCTTCAGGTACAAACCTGGAGAAAGATGCTCGTGAGAGGATGCTGAGAGCAGCATGCCAGCCACCCAGCAGCCGGGGTTCCCAGGGACCCTTAGGAGTTGCAAGCATCTATTGTTCTGTGCACTCCAGCTCTGAGCAGTGCAGCCACACTGTCTCCATGGCCAGGCAGCTTGGGTGCAGCAGCCGTGACCCTGAGGTCCCTACCGACGGTTACGGCACAGGAGTGGAGACAAGTGTGCGTTGCAGCCGGGAGAAGCAGAAAGGCACCTAACACGTTCTCCATTCCTGCCAAGTACCTGTGTCCATCACTTGCCTTCTCTCTTAGACCATCGAGCACCATGTTCATTGAGCACCACAGCTAGACTTATCCGTGCCTGCTCTCATTTGGCTTCAAGGAAACCTCTCTCTAGGAGGTGCCATTAGCCTTATTTCCAGAAAACTGAGTGTGGCCATGGAAAACCAAGCAAAATTGGCCTAAGTTCTAGCGGCCAATAAGGAGCGGCTCCAGGATTGGACCGGGGTCTGTGAGATCTGTAAGCAGAGCTCTCTCTGATGTGCAGCCTGAATAAACAGCTCAGCTCACTCCGGGTTCTACAGAGGGCTGCTACACAGAGATGATGAGCTGGAGAAAAAGCAACAGGTGCAGAGCGCAGAAACGGAAGCTGTTCTTCCACGCAGCTGTTTCAGGTAAGTCCCTCCCCTCCAGGACCCTGGTTTCCTGTTAAAGACCAACCTGGATTATCTACAAGCCCCTGACGTACTGTGCCCTGGCCACTGGGCCGCACCATTTGACTTTACCTATTAGGAAATAGTCCATTCTTTCATCTCGTAGAGACTCAAGAAATTCCTATCCCTGATTAAATATTCCTATTTGATATATACATGGTTACTGATGACTTCCAATCACCTTACTCTAAACTGCAGAAAGAAATTTTAAAATATCAGTAAGGTGTGAGATTTATAGTTCCTTTTTCCCCTTCTATACTAAGAGTTCTTTGAGTTCCCAGCTAAAATAACCATGTGATGAGAAGTTGGACATTGTGAGAGAAATCTTCCAAACATGCTTAGAAATTTGCATTATGAAAAATGTATGTGAAGACTTCAAAATTGTTTTAGTGAAAAATGTATCTCATGCAGGGCCCAGCGCGGTGGCCTAGCAGCTAAAGTCCTCGCCTTGAACACTCCGGAATCCTATATGGATGCCGGTTCTAATCCCAGCAGCTCCACTTTCCATCCAGCTCCCTGCTTGTGGCCTGGGAAAGCAGTCGAGGACGGCCCAAAGCCTTGGGACCCTGCATCCGTGTGGGAGACCTGGAGGAAGTTCCTGGCTCCCGGCTTCGGATCGGAATAGCATCAGCCATTGGGCTCACTTGGAGAGTCAATCAACAGATGGAAGATCTTCCTCTCTGTCTCTCCTCCTCTCTCTGTGTCTGACTTTGTAATAAAAATAAATAAATCTTGAAAAGAAAAAGAAAAACACATCTTTCAATTCTCTCATGTGTCTGAAATTATTCAGTCCTGAACACGTTCTCCTTTGGGTTTGTTTTCCCTGACTGCCTGGAGTAGCAGTAAACAACCCCTCTCTGCTGCTGTGCAGAAAGCAATCCACTCTTCTACATTCTGATCTAGAAGGTTCTCTCAGCTGCTTCTTCACATACTCCAGCACACCAGGAGAAGGTGAGGGTCTTACTTGGGCACGTGGGGGTAATTGGAATTCCATTTCTGACAGAGGATGCCAGTCCTGGTCTTGGACACCGTCCCTCGGTAGTTCCTTCCGCGCCCAGTCCTGCACTCTAGAAGATATACTGAAAGGAGAGGGGCACAGCCCATCACACAGAGACAAAGGACTTGCAAACCACACCCGGTTTTCCTGCTGCTGGAAGTCCACACCCACAGGAGCACCCTGGGGTTCCTGGGGCCCTCTCCATCCGTGTTCTCTTCCCAGAGCTTCTCCCAGAGCCAGAGACGCAGCGCAAGGTGCTGGGACCTCCAACACCCGCACCAGGGGAGGAGCCTGCTCAGGGAGCTCTCCTCCAGCCAGTGGGGCTGAAGCAAGAGAGCCTGGCAGGGCTGCGTGCCACGGGGCGAACAAACAGTGCAGACTTCCAGAGGCCGGAAGAGAGCTGAGCCTCCTCCGCTGCTTTGGGCTGCCAGTAAGTTACAATGGCGAACCACGCTACCGAAGACTGTGGTGCTTTTAGCACCAGCTCACCTGTGGGCTCCCAGCATTTTTTAAACATAGGCAGGTTCCCCTTGTGGTCCACTCAGCGTGGCTGGGGGGCCCCTTTCTAGCAGTCCAGCACTCTTGGGCGCCCACTGAGTGGGCTGCGCCTGTTCTAGGTGCCCTAGGCGTTGCCCACCTCTCTAGAACGGTCATGGTCCAATCTGAGGCATGCGCAGAAGACAACAAGCGCTGCTGCGCTTTGTTCTGAACAAAGCTGAAGACTGTGACCTGCTCATCCCGGGACCACATGAGTTTGAGAAGAGGATAACAAAGCTCCAACGGCTGGAGCTGAGACCTTGAAGGGGAGAAGCAACTGGCCAGGCAAGGACAGAGGCGAGGCACGTCCCTGACTGAACGGGAGGACTGGCTCCTGTGCTGGAGGCGCAGGAGACCCACAGCCAGCCAAGCAGACACTGGCCGTGACTGCGCTTAGAATGGCCAAGCCCTGTGGCATCTGAGAAGTGCTGGATTTCCCCCCCAAGTGTGCTAGGAAGGGCTTGAAGCAGCAGGGTAGCTTTCCAAGAGGCTGTGTGTGCAGTTACAAGCAGGAGGATCAGTGACTGCAGCTGCCCCAGCTTGAGACTGGCGTGGGCAACAACAGAGTTGAAAGTGGCAGGTGAAAATGTGATCTGACGTTTTGTCGCCCCGCGAAACCCTGGCTGATCAATTAGCAAAAGCACGGCGGACCACAGTGAGTGACTTTTGACTCTTCTCCTCTCTCTGTTTGCCTGCCCCATTCAGAGTTGATCTAACCTTTTGCTCCCTTCCATCAGCTTGAAAACAAGCAAACCATGTCTCCAGACTTCAGACTTCAGACCAAGCCTGACAGTGGCCTGCATGGTCTCTGGTTAACAATTTACAAACGACACGTCTATGAGTGGGGCCGAGAGAAGGGGCTTCCCACTGTTTCCATCCTAAGCCCCTCGCCCCTTCCTGTTTGTGAGTCCTGGCAGCAACTTCGACCCACACACTTTAGATTTAATTCACACTTAACTCTAAAACTAGCAAGAAACAAAGCTAAGGAAGGGGCGATTCACTGAAGTCAAGCAGGTACTCACTGCATAGAAAAACTCCAAATCCAAGGAGACATTTAAACATCGTATTCAGAGACTGGTGGCAAGACAAGAAACAATGCTGCACTTATTGTTGGGAATACAAGAAATGGGATGTTTCCTGTCCCTCACACCTGTGACACAGAATCTCTGGAGAGCTCAGCTGTGACCACTGGCCATCCTAACACAGTGCTGGTTAGCGGTGGAGTGAGGAAGATGATTTTCAGAATGCCAGGGGTCCATGGCTTCTTGGTGTACACTGCACAGCATCTCAGCATGACCCTAAAGCCATGTGGTCCCCATAGGAACCAAGTCCAGCTCTCCTCACCAGCAAGATGACTGCCCATGGTGTAAGGGAAAGTAAGGAGACAGAGCTGGCCTTGTGCACACCCACGAAGGGGTAGCATTTTTGCTTGGGTGGAACAAACAGCCCGTGAACAAAGATTTTTTTAAAAAGGAAGGAAGGAAGGAGGGAAGGAGGGAAGAAAGGAAGGAAAGAGAAAGGGAGAGAAAGAGAGAGAGAAAGAAAGAAAAAAAGCAAGCAAAGAATGTTATCCCTGTCCAGTTGCCACTTTGGCCACAGGCTAAGGCCATAGTCACGCTGCAGAGGGGCGTGTAGACCCCTCACCACCACCTCTCTCTTAAAAAATGAAATTTCAGGTATCTACTGGGAGAGCGTGGTGTGGGGGTAGAAGTGATTTTGTAAATCCAAAGGCTTCATTTGTGAGTGAGAAAGATGAACTGAGAGCGGTGAGGCAGAGCCTGCATAGGGACCATCCTGCCCTCACTCAGGACAGAGAGGGCCCAGGTGGAGGAGGCAGGGCACACACGCACTTTCCTTTTCGTAGAGAACCACGTCTCTCCTCCTAAGGATGAGCGAGGACTTCCTGTTCTCAGGCATGACTACGCACTGCGGCTCTTTGCTGTGGTACTGGAACGACCTGCAAAAGATGACGGGGACTGTGTGAGCTGGCGCTCCCTCTACTGCAGGCAAGCACATGATGCGTGGGACGTGGGCAGGAAGGAATACATGGCTGCTACCCTCAGCCCATACTATACCTGTGGTACCAGCCTGCAGGCCAGGGCAGCTGCGGAGCAGCCACACCCAGTGTCCTGTTCTCTTCCTTCCCCACTTGCTTTCCCAACGGGTATACTCTCCCTCACTGTGTGTTTCCTCCGAGCCAGAATGCTTGCATGAAACCCCAATGGCTTTGAACCTGTTCCCAAGGCACTCTGGCAGCCCACCCTGGGGACTTCAGCCACCTCTGGGTCCTTGTGTCACTCCCCCTCCTCACTCCCATCACCACCCACCTCCTCTCCTGTCCAGGTCCAGCCATGGGTGCTTCAAGTCACCCCCGGCTCACTGCATGTGGGCTTGTCAACAGACCTGCTCTGCCCGGGGCCATCTGCCCTGTTGGAGCACACAGCCATCTGTAACCTGCCCTCTGGTGCTTGTCAAAGTCTCACTCATCCCTAAAGCCTGACTCAGCTGCCACTCCTTCCCTGCTGCCTCCCATCTCAACCTCACCAATGGTTCCTGCTCTGCATCTTGCTGGCACACAGGTTGATTCTGCTGTTTAGCAACTCTGCCTCTCTCTGTCTCTGTCTCTGTCTCAGTCATCATGTCCAATTTCCTTGACTACATCAGAAATATAGACAGGCAGGACAGGTGAGCACCACGTCAGACAAGTGCTTCTTTGCTCCTTAAGATCTCTTAAGGACATCTGCTTTCCCATGATCCTCAGTAATTATCTGCTTACAATGATGGCAAAAGCTACAGTTCAAAACAACACCTGCTAGTGGTCACGTCACATGTCAAGATAAAGGGCTCCCTTTTGGGGTATTCTTAAGGGTGCTTGGCAGGAAGTCAGCGCGGCTGCAGTTTCTGCAACAGAGTTGTAATTCCATAACTTTTCCTTTTCTCTTCAATCATGCTTTTGTTCATCAGCCCACAGTACATTTCTTGTCATCAAAACAGGAGCGTCTCGAGCAGCAAGACTCTAGGTGGGCCCCACGGGAATGGGAATACCTGCACACGAACTCCGTCTCGGCCTCACATTTTGCTGCACAGTCCTCTACGCTCGCTGCCTCCAGCTGCTTCTTGGTTACACTGAGCAGCGAAGCTCCCTGGGTACTGACGTAGCCATCCAGGGATTGCCCTTGGCCTAGAAATGGAGACAAAAGGCGAACAATTGGTAAGATCCAGCAGCATCATTGAAATCTCTGCATTGTGTCTTTTCTTCGAGACATATGTACTTATTTGAAAGGCAGAGTACCAGAGAGAGGAGAGAGAAAGAAGAGGATAAGAGAGCACGAGACAAAGATTATCCACCTGCGAGCTCACTCCCCAGAACGCACAGTGGCCGGGGCTAGGCCAGGCTGAAACCAAGAGCCAGGAACTCCTAGGTTGCCTACAAGGGCAGCAGGGGCCCACCTCCTGTGCGGCCGTGTTCTGCTGCTTTCCCATCAGCCGGTTGTAGATCAGAAGAAGACAAACTGGCACCCATGTTTGACTTTGGCAGCACAGACAGCAGCTTAACCCACATGCCGCAATACCACATGCCATAGGGCCGTCATAACTTTTGAATCTCTCTACTTTGAATCAATCAAACAAAGCCTGTTTTTCCCCCTTGAGGTCAGAACATGTGATTATGAATAAAAACATTCAGCCAGAAGAACAGTTCCATGAACAGATTCTAATACATTGAAAAATGAATGAGATTGATAGAGAAATGGATTAAAACTATGTCACAACTTGTATGTTGCCACATTAGTGCATGACACCTTAGGTAAGAATGCATTTTCTCAGTCTGTTGTTCCCTACTGTGACATGCTAGCAGAGTAAGAGCCATCGTCAGTGGCCACCATGGTCCCAGGACTGCTACGTGCCTGTCCAGGGTCAGAATGGAGCCTGGGGATTGTTGTCTTGTTTCCAGCAATATACATGCTGGTTCTGTTATTGCCTCTAACTGGTGAACCGATGACACTAAGTAAGAATGGACTTGCAGGACTCTCGGAGCCAACATTCCTGGTTAGGTGAGAATCCTGCCGTATGATTGGTCCCTTTTACACTGTGCTTGATAAACAAGCACACTACTGTGAATATAGCGAAACACGTTTTCCCACCTCCAAGATACACATCTGGCATTTTAGAGGAAATTATAAAAAGAGGACTTAAAAGTCCTGGCCCCGATTGCCCATGAGGTCAAATTTGAGGCAAGGGTCTATCCAAAACTGGCTTTCCTCCTTGTCACTGCAGAGACTGGCCAAGGGGAGCCTCCGCCAGGTCCCCACCACAGGACCTTGGGGTCCCCAACTGGGAGGCTGGCAGTGAGGCTCCCTGCTCTTGTGTCTAGAATGCTGGTGGTCTCCCCAGGGAGAGGAGGCCAAGGGAGGCTAGTGAACTGCAGAGAGCAAAACCTCCATGGATGAGGCAACCAGGCAACCTTGAGCACCTGAGAGGAGTGGCAAGGACCAGAGCCAGGCAGCACAGGTTAAAGAGTGACCAGGAGAGGCCGTGGAAAGGGCAGGGGAAGACAATGGGGCTGCACAAAGTCCACCCTGCCACTTCGCCCTCCCTCCAAGCCGAAAAGATGGGGATTGAACAGGAAGTTGACAGTCCAGGCCTCCTAGGCACCTGACTGGTGGATCAAACTGTGATGGAGAAGTGGGCATGTGAGGCTCCCAGCCAGGTCGTCACACGGAGCATCCTTCTCTTTGGACTCTGATTTGCAAGAAGAGTGATGCTTTGAAAAATTCTACACATCAGAAGGGCTTTTTAAAATGCACTCAAATCTAGAAAGTGTCCCTTACAAAGAGCGAAGCAGGGGGTGTGAATAACATTCAAAAAGAGAACATTCCCACCCAGTCATTTGTCAGTTATGGCTCACGTTATTATGTTTCATAGCACATAGCTACTGAGTCCCACCTTAGGCCCGAAGAAACATCCCAGGAGATAATCAACCTTTTTCCCTTTTTGTTTGGAAAAAATTCTCCCAAGTCCACTTTGTCCTGTAGTTTACCTCCAAGACTCATACTGCCATGAGTTCAAAATGAATTATTTGTTGGAGGAATATACAATAAGTGAACCTTCTGGCAGGAAAGGTATTTTTATGTTATAGTAGAAATGGAGATGCTTACGGCTACCAAGACAAGTGCACTTGATACATAAAGTGAAATTCCACCCCACTCCCCGCCATTGTCATTGTCATTGCAGTGCAGTGTGTGGACTGCAAGACCCTTCTCATGAGAGTAGCATTAAAAGGACCCACTCTCCTCTGCAGTGGCATCAACCCCCACAGTGGGAAGACACAGGTCACTTCCAGGGAAAGTGAGAGTCAAGGCTTTCCTTTCTGAGAGAAACGGCAGAAACGTCCCCAGCTGCCCTGGTTAAGGCGTATGCTGATTCTGCCAGCCCTGGGAGTGGTTCTCAGAGAAGGTCCATGGGATGCCAGTCCTAGTTTCCATGAGTTGAAACAGAATATTCTGACATGCACTCATACATGCATGCTTACACCATCTCCCACAAAAAGCTCTTGGTTCCAGTTGAAAAATATATATATACATATTTTTTTCTGCAGTGGCTCCCTCCAAATTTGAATGTTCTTGACTACACAGTACAGCTTGCTAAATTGTAGCTGGTCATTTATCAGCTGCATTTCAAGTCTTTGTACACTGTGCATATAAAGAGCTACCTACAGACCTTATATAGACAGCGTTGGTAGGATATGTCCAAAATAGCATATCTGTGAAGACAGAAAGGAGATGAATGGATTGGGAGTAATGGCTAAGGAAGAATGGAATTTGTTCTCATAGTGAAAATATCCTGAAATTTATTGTAGCGATAGTTGTACAATTTTGTATAACTGAAAGCCTTGGGATTAACCTGGCTTAGATGGGTAAATTTTATAGTGTGTGTATATATCTTTACAAGTATACATATCAGTAAAGCTATAAAAAAAAAAAACCTGCTAGGATATTTTTAAAGGTTTAAACAAACATGAAAGAATGAGAACACTAAATTCCTTCTTGAAGGGCCCTGGTTTAAATCCCGTCTCCATAAATCTTCAATCTGGCAGTTTGGCCAATGGGAAAATAATGCAATTTTCTTAAATCTGGATTGTGTCTTCTATAAAATATGGGTGAACGTGCAACTCTACCCACATCTCCAGCTCCAAAGGTGGTGTTGGGTAAGGGTACACACACACACACACACACGTGTATCTGGCCCACCTAAGTGAATGGTGGCTGAGTTCGTGGGCTAATTACAGGCCTAAGAAGCAAACATTTACTTATGGAAAGTTTTGTTAAGCCACAACAAATAGAGAACTGCTGAGTCCAACTGCCCAGACTGCTCATAGAACAAATTGCGCTCAAAGAGATGTGTGTTCTAAAATCTGGGAGCCGAGGGAATCTATCGCATGTTTGTGCTAAACATGATCGAGGTTAATTCTGCCAAGGACCAGGCAAATGGATGAACCGTCTTTGGAGTTGTTAGCTACATCGGCTAACAATGAAATAGCCACCCCTGGGGCCCTGGCCCTAGGCTTGGGGTACCACCCTGACTTGCTTCTACCCCCTGCTCCTTGACCATACGCACAGAGAACCCAAACCCATTTCTTGAAGTAGTCCTTCCCGTATATTAGATCTTGAGCAAATGCTGCATCAGATGAGTGTGCATAAAACCATAGTGCATCTTGGAGCAACCCACGGCCGGGAAAATGAAGTAATTAAAGTAAAATAACAATCATCCCATCATCTTGAGGTCTTACCTGCTTTCAGAAATAAGAGAAGGAGAAAGAATACTTCCTTGTGTTCCATGTTGGGACGGGACAGCAATGCCCAGAAACGGTGTCCCAATCCCAAGATGCTGTTGACTTACAGGAAGAGTGAATGTGGCCACAAACAAGATAGCCCAGCACAGTTAATCATTGTCTCGGAGGGGTCAATGTTACCTGCAATCAATTGGCAGTCAGTGCTGGGAAGGGGCGAGGGCAACTTGCCCGCACAGAGCCACCCAGGCTGCCTACCTTCCTCCCTGCCCACCCCTCATTCCTTCCTGCCCATTTGGTAGGGTCTGGTGGCTCTTCTTCGTTCTATTCCTTCAGCGTAAAAATAAAATCCAAATCCTAGCCCCTGTCTGTCCAGAGCCTTACAGCCACCGCACATGCCACCGTGTGGTGTAGGTCTTGTACCTTGCTTTACCGTGGGCCATGTCTCTGCAGTTCAAGGGACAGTGCTAGCAGACAGGGACTGCTTCAGCCTTAAGTGACCAACTCCATGTCCTTTTAACACCCCTGCAGTCACCTGGTGTTGAGAGTATGATGTCAGTGGAAATGTTTCCTTGTATCAACATCTGTTGACTCCTGGTGAACCCACATGGTTTGTTTTGTCCTGATAACTTATAACACCATTTCTCCTAAATTAATTTCTGATGCAGACTCCCATCCTTACGAACTAGAAAGCGCTGGGATTAAGTTGAAAGAGTCTTACTTAACATTAACTGCGAAGTCTGTGCTTTTCCTTGATGAAGACTGGAATGGTCTGATATGTACATGATTTCAGACTTCCCAAAGGTGCAAATTGCAATGCCTGAGTTCCAATCCTGGCTCACTTCCCATTCCATATTCCTGCTAATGCACACCCTTGGAGGCAGCCGTGGATGGTTAAGTGCTTGAGTCTGGGCCACCTGCATGAGAGGCCCACACTGAGTTCCGTGCTCGTGGGTCTAGCCTGACCCAGCCCCGTCCTGTCATGGACAGGAGCTCTCTCTGCTTCTCAAGTAACTTTTTAAAAAAAAAAATTTAAGATTTATTTATTTTTATTGGAAAGGCAGACATACAGAGATGAGGAGAGACAGAGAGGAAGATCTTCTGTCTGATGGTTTATTCCCCAAGCGGCCGCAAAGGCTGGAGCTGAGCCAATCCGAAGCCAGGAACCTCTTCCGGGTCTCCCAAGCGGGTGCAGGGTCCCAAGGCTTTGGGCCGTCCTTGACTGCTTTCCCAGGCCACAAGCAGGGAACTGGATGGGAAGCGGGGCTGCCGGGATTAGAACTGGTACACATCTGGGATCCCAGTGCATGCAAGGCAAGGAGTTTAACCACTACACTATCGTGCCGGGCACAAATAACTTTTTCAAAAGAGAAAAATCTCATATTTCAGACTTTGAAATTTGTTAGGAATGGCAGACTGGCTCATTTTAGACATACAGTGGAGGGCTAGATAACTGCTGTAGAACCCCTCCCTACCCACCAAGTTGCAAAGCACCAGGGTGAGCGCCCACCAGATTGTCAAGAGCAGAAATTCCTGGCAAAGTCCACTGGATTGGAGCCCCATATGGGCTTTCTCAGGAGCAAACTGCCCTGGAATGCAGAGTGGCCTCGTGTGAGGGGCCGGGAGCCCCCTGGGTTTGAGTGTTTCCCGCCAGCCTCGCTTTCTTCCCTCTCTGTGCGTTGACCACCTCCCTCCGTTTGCCCCGTACCAGCTGTTGGCCCACTGGAGTCAGAGGCAGGGGCCATGGAGCCAGCAGACCGACTTGCCTTCCGGATGCGACAGGCAGCTGCGCTCAGGGTCTGATGCCGTTTGAGAACGCATGTGGTGGGTGGAAAAGCAGACTGGTTCTGTTAGCTGCTCTCCTGGATCAGAAGCCTCAGGAGCGATGAGGCCCGAAGCTCAGTGTCCACCTGATTTTCCTTTTTCTGCTGTTTTTGTGCTTGGTTTGGTGTTGGTCTCAATCTCGTCTGCTCTACCCAGATTGTTCTGGAATGCACATGATCCTGCAAAAGTGGGTTTTGTCCATTTTGCTTTCTTTCCAAAGGCCTCCAATGCGTCTCTGTTCAAATGGGGCCGCACCATCCCCGCGCAGTTAAACACCAAACAGCCACTTGGTTCCGTAGGCCGTCACCAGAAGAGCTAAGAGGAGCAAAGGAGGATCCTTCGGAAAAGTACGAGCAGCCAGAGCTTGGCGAACGATCGGAGCACCGCCTGCTGCCCGGTCCGAGTCCCGCTCCAGCCCTGCTGCAGCTTCCTCCTCGTGGCTCCAGTGATGTCACACCTGCCACCCGTGGCTTGAGACCCCAGCTCCTAGCACTGGCCAGTCTTGGCCGCCGCAGGTGCTTGGGGAGTGAAACAATAGATGGGAAGACATGATCTCTCTCTCTCTCTCTGTCTAAAATAATTGTTAAGTTCATGGAAGAAGTAGGATTCGAAGATACTTGCATTTTGGTGCCAAAAAAACTTTGTTGTTCCATGAAACACATTTTCAGTGATGCGCTGAGGTACCCACCGGGCTGGGGTGGGTCCCAGGCTGCACTCCGAGGGATGTACCGTGTCCCCAAGACTACTCTTTCCAAATAAGCCTTCCTGAGTGAATGGAAGAAACTGACAAGAGAAAAGACCATTTCTGTCAACGGGGGTGGGGGCCCGGGGCTGAACTCTGAGAGCTGATGCTCTTCTTTAGTTGAATCAATCACTTATCTGCTGGCCACTTACTGTGTACAGATTCTGCAAGAATGTTTTAGGGGTACGGAGAAGTTACCTCGCCCTGTCTGAACCCTCCCGCAGCAGATGACAGGAAATGCTGTCACTGCTGGTTGATGCAGATTTTGCTGCTGCACTTGCAGCCAAGTTCAAGGACGATCAAAGAGAAATCCAATGTGCTAAGCTCCGCCCAGCGTGAGGCCTGCAACAAAGGCTCCCTCGGGTTCTCACAGGAGGGGGCCAACTCAGCTGAATTTGTCAGCTTCCCAAGGGCCATGCAAGGGACATCACCAACACTGAGCCAAGGAACATCTGTCCTTGGGTCTAACATGAGGTGGCAGTGCCCACATCAGGACTGCCAGATGAGGCTCTCTCCTCCAGCCTGCCTGGCCTTGCTGCCTCCTTCCCACACTGCCCTCCTGCCTCCTGTGGCCGCAGACCCCGCTCATGGGCTGGTCATGCTGGGCTGTCTCCACCAAGAGCATCTTTGAAGAGCCTCAATAAGACTACTTCATTTTCACACGCGAACTGAAGCAAGGGCCTCGTACAACGCTTCCTCTTGGACGGTGGCATTCACCAGTGTTAGGAACCCCGTTCTAGCGAACTCAGAGGCGGCTTTCCCTTCATTCTTTGACCTCATTCTCCTGTGTGTTAGCCTTTGCTCCCTAGCCCTGGGAGTGCGCTGAGATGCTTATCAGAGTCCCCTCCAGGAAAGCTGTGGCAGGTGGCCCAGTTAGCACAGTGGTTAAAATGTAATTGCGCAGCACATACTGGCCAAGCCAGCCAGGACCCACAGGACCCACAGGTGCCAGTTCCTTAACGGAATTGTGCTGGAAGGATTCCAGCTGTCTACTCATCTTTGCAAATACTTCACAACCTCCAGATGTCTCCTCCATCAGACTTGCTCTGCAAAGTAGAAAACTCCCAACAGCGCTGATGGCAGCGGTGCCTCCTGGGCCCCAGCCTCCCCAGGGGGCAGCGGCCTCTGGGCTCAGGGCTCCAGGCTCGATGGGGCTGATGGAGGGATAAAGCGAGTTCTTTCTGCCTCTCCCATCTGCTCTTCTATGAGCTCGTTAAGTCTGACTCAGCAGCAGCTGGGGAGCACAGGTATAACAAAAAACAGAACTAAACTAAAAAACAATGACAAACAAGAGCTTTAAAACCAGTGAAACATGGCAGGATCCATGGACTTGCCTACGACACTGTGCCAGGCCATTTCTGGGCTATGATGAAAGCAATGGGATGAAAGCGAGAGAGAGAGAGAGAGGGTGTTCCCTCCCTGGTGAGGCCGTGTAATGGGTACAGGGCCCTCACTGTACTGCCACTATGATTTCTCACACGTTTATAATTTTGTCAGGATCATATTTGTTCATGCGCATGCTTGTTATGTGTATGTTCATGTAAGTATGCATCTGTACCTCTTTTTGGACATACAGTCACCCCTCAGTACTGTAGGGGCCTAGCGCCAGGATCCCTGCTGCACACACGCCCTCCACATGTGCGCAGGGGCCTGCTACTGCACACAGCCTCCTGCCCACGCAAGCCGTCACTGTATTCACACCTGCCATAGCATGCCTGTCATGTGCTCAGTGGTTCTGCCATTGAAGGAACAGCAACAAAAAGCAGGTGCAGCTTCAGCACAAACACCACCTTTTGTCCCCCTGAAGTTTCTGTCCACACTTGGCCCAATGCACGGATGCCCTACGGATGCAGAGGCCGGCTGTGTTCAGATAAGCTTGGGTCTGTTTGTAGGAACCCTGGGCCGACGAAGGTGCTTTCTTAAGAGTAAGGGACTCTCCCAAAGTACAGAACCTTCCCGGGCCAGGGCAGGGGCGGTGGGGGATGGGGCGACACTACTGTGGAGGCAGAAGCTTGGCCTGTGGCGGATTCCCGTGAGCTCTGTGCACAGGATGGGAGAGGAGGAGGCAGCACAAGCCCTCTGGTGGACACCAGCTGAGTGGAAAGGCTTCTGCAGGCGGCCTCTGACCCAGTGTCTGCCCCATGACCCCAGGCACTAGGGGAGGCAGGTTCTCACAGAGCATAGGCCCCTGTATAAGGGTTACCCCCAGGTAAGCACACTGCCCCCACTCTGGCCCAGCAAGACTGGCTCAGGGCTCTGTATCCAATCTGGGGGTAGGGGTGGAGGGTGCTGGGTGACAAGCAACCTTGCACAAACACTCTTCATGGGTCCCAAGAACAGGGCTCCCATGTCCCTGCCAGTGAGCCCTTCAGGCCAGTGAGGCGAGGTACATCTGGGAGAGAAGCAGCACTCAGCAAAGCGGTCCGACAGGAAGGACACTGGCAAAGCCCACTTCGCAGAGACGGTGCCAAGTGACCGCAGTGTGCCACCAACAGCACTTCG